CGGCATACATGGCCTGTTAACAGATTTCTTTTTTTCCCTGGTCATTTCTTTATCACCAATATGGAGTTTGGGGAGCTGCAAATTTCGAAAAATTGACATTTTCAGAAATGTTGGAAGAGGTTCATTGCACTACAAAAACAACACTATGAAAATGAGACAATTTAAACATAGATTAGGAAGAAAACATAGAGTATTGGGTTGTGTTAATCTAGGATAGATTATGTTAATACATAGCATCTACAAATAGACAAATGGAAGGAATGGAATAAATAGAGAAAAAAAACTACATCTGAGTCTCCAGAGTGCACAGATCCTTGCTGTTAGCCTTCAAGCTCCTGTCCAATCCTATGAGCATTTCTGTAAAATAACCAAAGGGCTATTACTTCAATGAGACCCACAACTAGAAGCTGATCAGGTTCATACACACAGCTTACTTTATGCTGACAAATGATCTACTTACCATACCCTAAATATGCAGAGTTAAGCAAGAGTAGGCTACATTTTGGCACTTAAGTCTACAAGTGAGTCACTGAAATAAAGCAGTTCATAATTGACAGGAAATATATTCAATAACGTTAAACTTAGCAAAACATATGATAGCAAGAGTTGGTTTATGGGATAATGGTCCATCATTAACTGTGTTTAAATGCATGGATGCCGTGAATTTGACAGAATTGGAAAATCAAGATGAAACTAAAATGAATTGGTCCTCCCGAACCTTCTAAAGCGTTAGACGTTACTTCTCATTACTGGTCACAAGAGATACAATGGACTCTTCCTCTTGTGTTCATTTGCTAATCCCAGATTACATCCAGAGTAAAGCATAACAATCCCAAAACCAGCTCATCGATTTGTCTACCTGATCATTACCAACAAAATAAGTGTTATTATAATTAGGTATTTGCAGGGCTAGACAAATATGAGTAGCATCAATGCTCCATCCGTAGTCAAGGCCTGTGTTGTGTAAGCTTTTGTTTCCCCATTTACAGTTTGAGTCCCTTTCTCAATATGATCGCTCATGTCTCCTTTGGTGCATTTAATTTGAATTTACTTAATCTTATTCTTTTGGGTAGGGCCCTTTATGTATGTTGGATATCTAGCAGTGGAGAGATAATAGGAGAAGAGGGGAGAAAGAGGGGGCAATGACATGTAAGAAAAGAGGGATGTGGCCCCTTTACCAGGGTGCATCAAGTTTCATACAATATCAAACCATTGTTTTTATTCTAATATAATGAAATGATATGAGATCAGAACAAGCTAGTAGTAACATGATAATAGACAGACAGTTGTTTCGGAACACAAATGTAGAGAACTATTGATATTATAAAGTATCTTAATATTTGCAAACTTTAGAAAAATGTTTGCATTAAAATTATTTTATTGCACGTAAAATAAATAAATAATAAAAACTTACGAGATTTTCCCAAAAGGTATAAAGGCAGCCTTGACATCATCGGTGGTGATCTCTGGGCTCAAATCACCCACAAATACATGGAAGTGATCTAGATGAAGATACAAACAAAGAAACCATGTAATACTCCCTGTTCAACTTCATTTCAGCAGATTAGAAACATCATTGATGAACACTTACTGGAAGTGTCTTTCTTTTGGCTACTTGGAGTAGTGGCCCAGTTTACTTTGACCTCCTGTAAGCAAAGAGTTCATAGAGTCTGAGAAATGTTCAACAACACACGCAGGTCAGAATTCAGAAACCGTTGTGTGTTGATTTAAATTGTAGACCAAAAGAATTGTCTTACCTTTCCCAATATCTTCCTCCCATTCATGGCTGCAAGGGCTGCAGCAGCATCTCTGTGTTCATAGAACTCCACAAAGCAATAGGGATCATTGCTTGTATGCTGCAAGAGACAGATAAAACACAAACGTTCAAAAGGTGGGTAGTAGAAATATAGGCTGCAGCTTAAATCAATGTCTATTTGTATTGTATTCAACAGTGGTGGATTTTTACTATTGGTTAAAGTATACATTGTTGACGTGGCCACCCTCCAAATGTAAATGTCATGGGAAGGAGACATCAAAAGTAAAAGACATGCATGACGGTAAACAACCATGGCTGCTTACCTCTGTGATCATTTTACAGCTTTTGCAAGGCCCGATCTGGGTGAAGAGCTGCAGAATCAAAATCTCTGTTACATCCTTGGAGAGGTTTCCCACATACCTGGAGGGAAAAGAGTGGTTTAATGTAATGAACGCTGGTCACGGTTACAGTTGAACGATTATCCAGGAAACACTGAGGTGGTACAGACTGTAATGCGTAGATATTCTAGGAGCACGTCGCTTATTTCGAGTATTTACGTTACCTTGGTATGGTGAGTTACTAATATGACGTTATAACATTAACGTTAGCTTGACTTTCAAGATGGCCCAACGTAAGTGAAGGCTAGCGTTAACTTCACCCGCGGTTGACGCTTAACATACAGATTAAAAACACATTCGAAATGCGTAATATTTGCATGTTATCTTATGTAAGCGTACCTGGCGTTAGTAAAGCGTTAGATGTGTGTATTGTATGGTGGTATTTGCCAGGGTTGTAAAGTCAGCGGGTAACGTTAGCTAATTTAGCCACCGGTTCCCGACCGTGGCGAAGCTAACGCTACCGTGAGACATTTAAAGATACTTACAGGGTTTTGGGGTAGCTGTCGTCGTCCATGGCCAAAGCCGACAACAAACGTTAACCGAGTGCTGTGTATGATGTCAACGATCTAGTAACAACAACTAGCTAACTAGCTTAGCAGCTAGCTAACCGGGCGCCAGGGTATACGTCACGCTGGGAGTCCAGATAGCGAGCGTGCGTGGGCGGGTGCGTGTGCCTGAAGAGCCCCGGTGAGGTCAGGGTGAGGTAACGAGAAGCTCTTACAGTTTTAACAGTGTAAATCATAAACCCCGTAATACAAATAATTTGTTTAAGTGATTGGTTTATAATTCAATACAAACGCTCAAACAGATTACACATTCACTACCTTATTTATCACATTTAGCAACGACTTGAGGTGATTTTTAAGACTTTTATTTTGAAGTGGAAAGGTTGCGCTTGTTTTACTCACCGGTGTTCGACGGTTCATGGCAGTTTCTCGAACCATGGGGATCTTTCCGGATCTCTGTGGGCACATTCATGTTTGATTCAGATATTCTGTTTTATAGCAGTATGATTCCAAATATGTATTTTGTATTGTTTTTTTACTTGAACAATAATTGCAGTAACTGAAAGTTAGAAGGAAACATTAATTACTGTATTCCCAAATGTTTTATTGTATATTAGCACTAGGGAGCGCCAGAGACAGCTACTTTTACACTGAGTTACTGACAGATGCTGTTATCTCGAAGTGTTTTTTAATGAAAAGGGCAACAAGTAAGATTTCTCCTGTGCCATTATTCTATCAAATGTCCATCAAGAATACTGAGAGTTTTTCTGCAGTCACTATTCACATCAAGTCGTAAATGTTCCAATTTCTGTTGAGCAATACGTAATTCCTTAATCCCCTTAACCACCACCTGACCTGAAGCAAGGACAGGTGGTGGTTAGCAGGTAAATATAGTCTTTTCAGTGATGCCCCTTGGTGCTATAACATAACATATTTAAAACAAAACATGTCACAAAGTATTCTGGCAACATGAACCTCATCTCTGAATGAAGAATCTGATAATCATTTTTCAATTTGATTCATCACTGTATAATTGAGTGCAATGACTAAATGCATGAACTATTGTGTCACATATAAATGAACAATGTTGGACTGACTGGAATTTAATCTGCTACTTCTCACTATATAATAAAGTATACAAATAATATTCCTTTTGAGAAATGCTTATTGAGTGGTGTTAATATATAATCACCTTTTATAGTACTTGGCTCCAATGGCTATGTTATATAGGTTTTGTTTTGGACAATTTGAACACTTTTTTAAGGTATCCAAATCAATATTCTACCACTGCTATCTCTGCATCTTTGAAAAACCATGTAATGATTTCAGACAGTCTCCAGCCAAGGCAGTATGAGTTTTTTGACATTTACAAATAGTTCTCGTCTGAGGCTGAATGGAGTGTTGTGAATTAAGAAAGATTTGTCAATGGGGGTGTCACAGCGCCCACACTGTCACACACCACAGTTAACTATTGCACAACAAATTCAGAGTTCCCTTGGACAGGATGTATCATGTATGCCTGTTGTTATGAAGAATCTCGGGATTCCCTTGACTAATACACAGAAAGTTGTTCTCAAGCGGGGGTTTGGGGACGCACAGGGGTCCATGTTTGGGTGTTCAAAGGTGTATATGGTGATGGTTTCCAGAGGGGGAAGGAGTACTCAGATCTTGCACTAAAGTAAAAGTAGAAGTACCAGAATGTGAATACTAAGTAAAAGTCCTGCAATCAAAAATGTTACTCAAGTAAAAGTACAACAGTGTTAGCATCAACATATTAGAAAGTAGGCCTACCAAAAGTAAAAGTATTCAGAATGCAGATTGGCCCTTTTCAGAATAATATATATTATAATATCATTTAATATAATTATTGATCTGTTTAAGTGTTATCAAAGCAAAGGTGCAGCTAGTTTTAAAGACATTGTATACTGCAGGGCATCTTGTGAATTTGCAGGTGTAACTAAAGTCTTATTTAAGTGTTGATTATATTTCAAATAATTAATTCAAAAAGAAAAAAAGTATTAAATAATTGAAGTGAAGTAAAAGTACATGATTAACCTCTGATTTGTAGTGGGGTAGAAGTAGCAAAAAATGTAAATCCTCAAGTAAAGTAGGCCTACAACAAGTCCCTCAAATTGTACTTAAGTACAGTACTTGAGTAGATGTAGGTTACTTTAAACCACTCATGGTTTCCCCTCCAACTGGAGAGAATATGTCCGTTATATGAAGAGAGCATGGCTTTCTGAGAAATTAAATGCACAACAGAGGTTTAATACGAGACTATGTTAGGGGGTTTGCGACATAACAGCTTTGGGAACCCATGCCACCGTCTCCAGCGCTGTCCGCCCCCGACATTAACCCGGCTATTTCGAGAAACTTCCAGCCCACTTTCCCACGTCACTTCAAGGAATCTTTAAAGCGTCCGTCGCCTGCATAACATGTTTCAGTACTCGACAGCCAGCAATATGAACGGCATGAAGACACAGTCACCGACACTGACAATGGCCAACAATGACAGCGACCCTCTCCCTCTCGGCTGGGAAGTCAAAATTGACCCTCAGACTGGATGGCCCTTCTTTGTGGATCACCATAACCGCACGACCACCTGGAATGACCCGCGACACGACACGAAGAAGGTAACGGAGCGGCGTGATAAAGTTTGTCAGTGTTAGCGGCTAGCGGCGGTACAACTCTTTATTTCTCCGTCGAGCAGGTGTTATGATTTGGTATGCTGTTAAAGACGTGCTACATCACTGTTGTGTATTAATCTTGTTGACGGTAGGCCTTGTTGGGAACCGTCACCTCCCCCTCACAGACAGCTCAGACGCCTATTATAATGGGTGATCACCCCCGTTATGTTCCAGTGTCATGATCTAACTCTATTATTACTCGATGACTCACCATGCAGTATGTAGTAGACTACCTATGATGAGCTTTAGGTATTTCAATGTCGCTTCTTTCATGGTGAAAAACACAGCGACGTCCAGCTCAAATTAAACTTTTTGCCTTACAAGGATTGAGGCTGGTCCTGTTTACTTTGGCCTGTTTGGAGTATAACTGTATGATAGACGCTGCCCGCATATCATGTTCTGCTGGATTTATTACATGTTATATAAACATAAAGGTCTACGGAGTAACCCCAGTTGGCTGAAGTTAACCTCGCAGGCTGCCAGTTGTTAATCTTTCGTCTCACAGACAGACACCGTTGTCCAAAGTTAGTGTCCCAAAGAATCTTCTGGAAAGACACAGCTGTCAGGGGATAAAATTGGTGCAACGGTGCTGGCAGTGTGAAGTGTCCCATACAGAAATGGCAGAGGGCAAAGGGTCGTTAACAGCTACTTCATAACTTTATTTTCGAGCGAAAATGCTACTGGATTACATATAAATGCAGTTTTCTGTTATGTAGGCTTCATTACTTGGAGTTAGTGGGTAGATCATTACCATTTTTTAAAATATAACATTGAGAGGGTGCTGAAGCTCTGAAGCAGACTTGTTGCTCCATGGCTGTTATTAGCAGGTGTCATGTTACTTGGTACAAAAAAAACAATTCAAAAATAGTTTTTTTGGATGAAAATTAAATGTTTTCCTGTTAATTTTAATTGTTTGAAATGCTGGCAAGTATGGATAGTATAATTATTTCCTAATAATTGAGATATAATGCTGTGATTGATTTCCTGTTTTTACAATTGTTTCATTAGTAGGTCCCCAATAAGGAGTCACTTTCAGTTTGATTATTAGTTGTGTACATGTATTCTCAGATGTATGTTCTTTTTTATATGATTAGACTAGAACAGCTGCTAGTCGAAGAATAGGGAAAAAAGCAGTTTTTCAGCATAATATTATGTAAACACAATTCAATTATTTGACTCTTTTATAGGGGAAAGTGGTCAAACAGTGTAGAAAAACAGTTCCCGCTCTGTGTATGACATAATTATTATGAACTAATAACATGTTAGTTTAGAGGGTGTGCCAAAATATTGTGTGCCAGGTGAAAGATATCACTGTGGTTGTGGAGCAACATATCACACAGAAACATAGATTTTCTGACTGGGAATGAACCTTATTCCATGTTAATCAGAAGTTTATTTCATTTATGAAATACTCAAAGAGGTGATACATTTAGCATCCCCCTGTGGATGTTTCACATTTGAACCTATAACCTCTGCAGTTATCTCAGGACTGAGAGAACTTTCCTATTAAAAATACTTACGTTGTTTGTATTAACGCACATGTTTGTTTAGCTGGACAGATTTAGATAATGTTGAATTTATGAAGGTTCATTTGTAAAGGATACATAGAGGAAATGTATGTTACTTATTTTCCTCAACATTAAGCAAAGATTGCTTGGTTAAACAAAAAATAATCTTGCGTTTTGTTAGTTTGAATAGTTTGTATGACTTTGTATTGCTTAAAATAAGAAAATCATCTTCTAACATATTTGATTTCTTTGATTAAGGGATTATAATGTCAACCAAGTACGTATTGTTTACAGTGGTGATTTCTAAACTTTGCGGTTAAATTATTTCTTATGTTTAATCTAAGCATGTCTTATTTAGTGGCTTTCCTTATTGCTCTATCATGTTATTTAAAATAAATTCATTATTGATATTATAAATATATAATAACATATATAATAGCAATTAAATCCATATTCTATTGGCTCAATTTCAGGTCAGGGAAGTGTCATCAAATGGTCCCAACATACCACCAGAACCCAGCCCTCAGGAGACTCAGAAAACCTTTGTGAGGGAGATGAAGCACCCCATTTTGCGCCCAGGTTACGTCCCTATCCCTGTCTTCCATGACGGTGCAGAACTGAAGCAGCAGCAGCATCCATGTTATTCCTACATCCAGCCAACTATTGCACAGAATATCCAGTCGGACGGGCGGACACCTTCCCCGACGCCGGGGCTCCACTGCAGGCCCAGATCACCCCTACATGGATCTACAGATGGCTGCTCCCCTGAGCCTGGAAAGGCTAGCTCGCCTGTTTCACAAACAGCAGAGGTAGGATTTGAGTACACATGCTGCAAAAACATATATTTTTTGTGTAAAATAAATCCGCAAATACTGAATTTTTGTTTCAATTCCCAATATTCTTAAGGTTTACACTGCCCCACATCAACAACCCTCACGCCCCAGCAGCACTGGTTTTCAAGCAGGTTACATCCCCATCCGTGTGATCCATGAGGGTGGAGGAAGTCAAACACCAACACAGGCTCAGTTAAATCCCTCCGTCTACTCTCAGCGCATCCCCTACCCAGAGCACCACCAGCCCCTCCATCGCCATCAGACCGACGAATGGCCCGGCTACTCTGCGGCAATGCAGCCTCCCCGGGAGAGAGCTTCTCCGATCCAACATCGAGATGCTACTTCTATTCACCTCCAACCTCATATTAGATGCCAGTCACCTATTATAACGCAGGTGATGGGAGAGAGACCGCAGGTAATTATTATTTTTGTGTGTTTACACTGGGATTTTCTTGATTTTAACGTCAGTATGTGTTGACCTAAATTGTGATGTCATCTTTTTAAACTTCTAAGGCTCAGCAGCATGTCCTCACTAGAGACCCGCCCCAGAAAATGGAGCAGGAACAACACACCGCTCAGCAGAAACCCGAGAACACGCAGCTCCCCCACCCATCGCACACAGAAGTTGACTTCCAAAAGCCTCAACAACCTCAACAGTTCCAACAGCCTCCACCTCCGCAACCTCAAAAGTTCCAACAGCCTCCACCCCCGCAACCTCAACAGTTCCAACAGCCTCAACAGTTCCAGCAACCTCAGCAGTTTCAGCAACCTCAGCAGTATCAGCAACCTCAGCAGTATCAGCAACCTCAGCAGTATCAGCAACCTCAGCAGTATCAGCAACCTCAGCAGTATCAGCAGGCACAACCTCAATCCCCACAGCCTCAGTATCCTGAACAGTTGCCGCAGCAACAGTTCCCGCAGCCGCAGAAAGTGGAGCAACCACAACAACATACTGCAGATATCAAAGTACAAATACCTCCCAAACCCGAGGCCGAGGACACAACAGTTGTTCCCCCAGAGGTCCCACCTGTGAAGGTTGAGGCTGAACATGCTGCTCAGAGCCCAGTGCATCCAGGCTTGGCTAAAGTACAGCAGATTGTTGCAAGGGTTGCTAAACTGGAGCAGGATGTGAAATGTTTTGAGGGAAAGAAGAATGGTAAGAAATACTTGTTACTGGAGGAGCTGCTGACCAAAGAGCTCTTAGCACTGGACTCTGTTGACCCAGAAGGTCGTGTAGACATACGGCAAGTGAGGCGGGATGGAGTCCGGCGTGTTCAGAACATACTGGAAGCACTGGAGCAGCTGGAGGAGCGGCCATCTAGGGAAATGGCGATGGAGGGAGACAACCAGATGCAGAAAGGAGAGCCCAGAATGATCTCCAAGGAGAATGTAGAGCTGGCAAAGGAGATCTCATAATGACTTCACACTGAAGAGGAGAGCAGGATGACCTGCTGTATATTTGATAGTGAACAAGTCTGTTTCGGCTATCTCTACTCCTCTTCTTTCTACAGCATTTGTGGAAGTTGCATGCATTGATTAACAGTGTTGGTATTTCCTGCCATTCAGCACATAATTGATGGTAGCTCAGTGCAATCATGTTTTCAAGCCAATGTTGTTGCCTTCTATGTTGTGCCAACTTCCTCATAATAAGACAGCGGTCATGGTCAAGGTGTTGTCAACAATGTCTAGTCAAATTGAAGTTGAAATAAGAGGCCTTTATCAATAAATGGAAGAAGAGTTAAAGTATTTTCTTAAGAAGTGTTATGTGTGGCTGTCTTTTGTCTTGATCATATATTGTATGCAGCTTTTCTTAATCCAGTCAGAAAATCGGTTAGTACAAAAGTGCAAACATTGGGCTTTAAAGCAGAGCTCAGTCAACAGAAAAAAGCATTTCCCCCCTTTATAGCCACATGGTCGTGTTGGAGCTGCTTTGTCACAGAGCACAGTGAATATGTTTATTAGATGCTGCTTTTTGGCGCATTACTGATTTTGCCGTCTTTGCACTTTGCCATCATTGAAATGTATCATGCTGAAAGATCATGGGCACTTCATTTGAAATATACAAGTTACACAGGTTTTGATTGATGTGTTTGAGTGTTTGTATGTGCATTGGTTTACTTGTTATTTCCTTATATAGTATTTTGGTACATTTATGAATGTGTAAGGACAAGTTGAGGTCAGATGTGGACCTTACTCGAGATGTCGGACAATCAGCACCTGGAGGAATCATAGTTTAAGATTGTCAGAATGTATAACCACCACAGCCACAATCTGTAACAACGCTGACACAACCCTTCAAAATGTCAACTGTGAGAAAGTGCCCGGTTCTTAAAAAGATGAAGCAAGGAAATTCCAATCTGTAATTTAAAAAGGTTCAAAAATATTCTTAAGATCTCACTAATCAGTTGTGTCCTAATTTGTCACTTTGATAATCAGGTAGGGTCTCTGCCGAACCCACCCTTACAAAATGATAGATTGTGGTATAGTGTTTGTTATTCACTGTTTATGAATAGCAGACTGATGCATTGTTGAAAGCAAATCACGTTGGTATGTTTGAAAATAAAATTTATTTGACAAGGATTTTGACTAATATTTGGGTTCCCACAGATTCTGCAACATTACTCACTGGCTATATAATTCATTATTTAAATGGTATTGTTGTGCGACACCTTTGGATTTAAAGACGTGTCCTGAAACAGCATTCAGCTTACTTCTTATGTCTGGCTTAGTTTTCAATAGTAAGATTAATGTCTCTGTCTGAGATCAGCTGCTCCTTTCCTTTTCCCTCAGAGCCCAGCTGAGTCATAACAGAACATTTTTGCTGCCTTATTCCTAATCGGGTGTGGACAGCTAAAATGTCTGGTATGTTTTGTGCTTTTATGTAATATCAAAATAGGCACATCATTCCTTTTTTTGATGATTGTTTTGCACTTAATCCCACTCATTCAACTGGGATAAGCCCGCTGTCTCTAAAACAAAGTGGCTGAAGCTGTGATGTTTTGCTATCTCTGACAAAAAGTATCAACATTTTTTTACTTGAAGGCAAATGCCGGGTAAAAGCTACATTCCTAGTTATATCACATTTATTTTTAATTAAAAGACAAATAAAGCCAATCAAAATTTACATTCTTATTTTCACTTTCTTCAGAATGAGGAGTCCAATTATCAACATAATTGTGTTTTCAAGATATAACATCATATAATGAGTAAAACATATAATTAACAATTACTGCATTCATTTAAATTATGTAATAGTTTAGTATATTCAAATATTTTTATTTTTGTATGTAGGCCTACGGTACCTGTGCCTTTTTGATGACGGGACAGATCACGTGTCATTGTTTAGAGCAGGAAACTGTCGGTTACATCTTGAACTGCACACAGCAGCTGGGACACCTCACTCATTGATGTGTCTTTGCTTTTACTCTCCCCATCATGACAGCGGGAAGGGCTGCTTTCAAAGTGGAAAGGGAATTGTATTAGCATTATGCTTATAAGTGAAATAAACACATTCGATAAGCATCCAGCTGCTGCCGCTAGCTCGCTTGGTGGCTAGCTCCCGTAGCTCACCAGCCTGAGGGGGACGAGCTAACCGTGGCTAGCCAGTCGCTCTCTGGCTAGCTACAGTCAACCTCCAGGACGTGGAAGTTCATTATTACCAGTACCTGGCTGCGAAGACAGATAGTTATCTGTGTTTGTGGCACATAAAGGGATAACATGGAGCTATTCCAAGCCAAAGACGACTACATTCTCCAGAGCGGGGACCGTGCTCTGTGGTGCAGCCGAAAAGACGGGACCATGACGGTCAGACCTGGTACGTACTGATGACAGCTTTCTGTACCGCAGCCGCAACCTGACACTAACACTCCACTTTATGAATATTAGAGTAAAGTAATGTCATATACTTCTTATCCTGTATGATAAGTGAGTCTAAACACCTCATTGGGTTAGTCTCATCTCCTGATCGTTATTGGCACTCACTAATCTCTGATATAAACGTTATCATTAAATTGGTCTCATTTATCCAGCTGCGTCAAACATAACAATTCGATTATTTTCAAAGATAAGATAGATATGCGCCGTTTCTAAGTCTTGAAACCATCGTCTAAGCTTTCATCCCCGGAGTGGCAACACCCCAAACAGATTTCAAAGTTCTTGCTCTGCTCCTTATCTTCAATTCTTCTCTTGACCAAACAGACATAGTACAGGGATGTAAGGAGGGCAAGATAACCTCATTTGAGCTTTCATGATATACTTGATTCATGATAGCTTAGTCAATGTACTATTCTAATCTGGTGTATTATCAGCAAACTATAATGTCATTCTAATGTTTCAAGTAGTGCAAACTATACAGGTACAGGCATGTTAAGTGTTTGAAGCAGCTCCTGGCATTACACAATAGTGCGTAACAGATTACTGATGCTGTGGCTCACAACTTTCATAAAGAATTTGTCATGATTTCCTTTTTGTATGAAAGATTGTGGGAACTGTTGAAAGAACTACTGAACTAAAAGAGAAGTTTCATTAGTCACCAGAAGGCAGTCCTGTGTGTCGGTGGAAGTGGGATGGCTGTGCAGCCACCCTGAACAGGGTTTTAGTTGCACCACTGTTTCATTATTTAATTGGAAAAAGGGTTTCCACTCCACTCCCAAGCACAGGATGAAGTTGTGGTATCATTCTTATATTATGGTTTCCACAGGCAGTTCCTCTGTCCATGAATGTTTCTGAATGGTGGAACAGGAAGAGTCATTGTCTGACGCTGCCTACAGTTCATGATCTCCACCCGTAGCCACACCTCTCATACTTCTCCACTATTTATGTTTAATCCGTCACCAATGCTAAGCATTCCAGGTTCTCCTTCTGGTCACTAAGTTTGTGGAGACAAAATGGAGATATACAAAAAACATAGACAGAATAACAGACCTACATGATTCATACAGATTAAATAAGATTCCACTATCTATCTATTACAGCATTCACCCCAGCTGCAATTGAAGAACAAGTCTTTAACTTTTTTGAGTGGTTAAAATACATTTGCATTATAACAGGAAGTCGCCTAACCTCAACTCTTTCTAGGCACTTTCTGTTTGGTTAGTGTGAATATTCAGCTGTTTGTGAAAGGAAATGTGCTGCTTTAATCTTAAAATAACTTGAGACTCCAATAAACTAAGTGGCCTACATTGCCCTGTTCTTGTTTGTGTAAGTATTTAACCTGGCTGCCTATCTGGTCTGAAGCATATTTTGCTGAGCTGGCTTTGCTACACCACTGATCTGTTTAATTTTCATGTTTCTGTCTCAGCAACCGACCTGTTGTTAGCCTGGAATCCAGTCTGTTTGGGCTTGGTAGAAGGTGTCATTGGAAAGATACAGCTTCACACAGGTAAGTGGAGAGTGAAAAAAACATTTCACCATTTCACCTTTATCTGCTTTTTGCTTTTTCACCCGTATTTCCTGTATATCTGTGCGCAGAGGATGGTCCAAATCAAATCATTCAGTCTTAGATCTTCTCTTCCTCAAAAGAGAAGGTGTTAAAGTATTTTGAAATGTGTGTACTTCTGAAGATGTCATGGTAATTATTCCACTTCAGATTTTGTATGGCCTCTGTCTGCCTCAGGGTAAGAACATTAAACATTATACCCTTCACAAGAAAATATATAATCAAAGTTATTTTAGTTATTGAAATGGATGAACATGGTTTGTATATTTATTTACCACGGGTCCATATTACAAAATCTGCAGCTAATTGCTGGTGTTCAGCTGCTTTTTTCACACCTCAAAATGTGAGGAATTCTGCACCCCTGACGCAACTCCCCCTTCTTTTTTCTCTCATGTTGGCAGACCTTCCTCTTGGCCTCGTATTAATCCGCCAGAAAGCCCTGGTGGGCACCCTTCCAGGCAACCACAAAGTCTACAAGATCACAAAGATAGCAGTCATTCCTCTGTCTGATGAAGAGCCCCAGGAGCTGGAGCTGGAGGTGTGTACACCAACACCGTAATGAGACAAGAGGATCAGTGTCCATGTACTTGTGCTCTAATTATTGCACTCAGCCCTTTTGGCAATCACTTAAATGGTGCTTGTGAGATGACTGAATTGCTTTTCATTATTTAATATCCAAAATGTCCCAAAATACCCTGTATGCATCACCGTATGATTAATCTCTGATGTTAGTTGTAGTTTTTTTTATTTTCACCCACACATTCAGAGTAAAATCACTGCAATAGAGCTCAAAGAAAGTGGAATATTACTAAAATGTCAGTCTTTCAGGGAAACTTCATGGATGGTGAGACAGAGAATTATTTTCAAGTGAGTAAATACGGAGAAGGATGATTGTTCCCGGATAGGCTTTTAGGCCCCGTCTTGTGATTTCCTCCCTGTTTTGCCTAGAAATACTATAGCTCAAGTAGCTTTTAGATTGTTTACTGTGTTGGTTCAGGAGAAATAGAAATATAGAATACTGGTTTTTTTGGACGTTTGTTGAAATGTTTATTTTTTGTTCAAAGGTGGTTTTAAATGATAACAACCTCACCAGATTGACTTTATCTTTCGTAATATCCCTGATATCTGTATTTAATTGCATACATTGGATGGAATATCCTCTTTTTTAGCTTTGCAAGAAACATCACTTTGGAATCGACAAACCAGAGAAGCTGGCCCCGTCTCCCGATGACTCAAAGTTCTTGATGAAAACCTTCAGCCAAATCAAATCGAATGTGGCTGTGCCCATCAAGAAAAAGGTATTTATATTGTTGTACACTTAAGTACAAATGTATTCCATTATCCTCAAGCCTACACACTACTTTCTCAATATTTCATGCTTTTAATGGCCTTGAATTTCTCTTGGGATTTTACTTTCTTTGGTTTTTCAACTTCCCGCTCTTTTCTATCCACACACCCAATCCAGTATGCCCCTGCCTTCCAGGTCAAGGAAAACAAAGAGAAGGAACGTCTGGAGAGGCGGCTGCTGGATGAGCTCTACAAGGTATTCATGGACTCTGACTCCTTCTACTACAGCGAGACCTACGACCTGACGAACACCGTGCAGCGCCAGGGAGACTCGGAGAAGTCCAGCCTACCCCTATGGAAACAGGTGTGGACACGTCTTGCAGCTCATATGCATACCTCCAAAACTGTTACATCTGATTGACAGTTGTATTCTTTCTTTGGGAAAGGTGGATGACCGTTTCTTCTGGAATAAACACATGATCCAAGACATTATTGACCTCAAGGTAAATTATTCCTCCATAGAGAAGTATTGTGTCACAGTTGTTGTTTGTTTCTCTCATGTTAGATTTAAAAAAAAATCCCTTCGCCCCTACATTCTTTACATTTGTCGGCTCAAAGAGCATAGCTGGTCCTGCTGTGTTAGTGTTGCAGTTGTATATTTACCAGAGCTTTATCAGAAGAGTATGAAAATACTCTGTGAATATAAGTGCTAACAGTTATGCAAAATACACAGATGTAATATTCAAATATACGTGGTATGCAAAGTGCTTCCTTACCAAACTCTCAAACAGCATTTTTATTATCTTGTCCTGATGTTGCTTTTCACTTTTGCGTACTCCAGGTGCCAGATGTGGACTTTTGGGTGATTCCAATCATCCAGGGCTTTGTACAGGTGGAGGAACTGGTGGTGAACTACAACGAGACCTCTGATGAGGAGAGGAGCAGCCCTGAGACGCCACCTCAGGATATCACCTGTGTCGATGACATCCATCCCCGCTTCACCGTGGGTCTTATCTCCAGACGCAGCCGTCACCGCGCAGGTAGAGCTACAGTTTCTGATTGTTCGGCCTACTAGTCTAGTTGCCAGCATTCTGAACACAGAAATGTTGAGGACCCCATGTTTTATGTAAAAAAACTGTATAGTTCGAGTCCCCAGCACATATAAACTGTTGCATGCTAACTTGCATATGCATATATATGCATATGACATTTTCATGATCAAAAACTGCAGTTTTACCAGAAAGTGTTTAATGGTAAACATGGAGTACAAGTATGGCCACTTTCCGGTTAAAACTCCCAATTTGGATCCTTAGAATTTAAGAAATTGATTCAGCATCCTCATAGCCCTCAAAAACATTCCAAAATTGTCAAAATCGGCCAATGCATTTTTTTAACTATTGTCTGCATTGGCTATAACGCGATGTAATGCTTATTCTATAACACATAGGTGTGAGCAAGCTCTCTGATTGGTCAATAGGCGTGTTTGATTCCACGATCAAACAACGATCAAATAGAACGTGCCTTTTCACAACAAGTCAGTATCCCTCCGCGTCTGAGAAAAACAGTATACCGTTGGGCCGAAAAGCAAACTGCCTGCAGTTTGCTTTTCAAACTGGAACAAGAAAGCAGCGGAGAAGTAAGGGGGCAGAAACCCTCATTTTTACACAGCGGTCCAGACATAGACATCAAACGGCAAAACATATTCAGTGTGCAGTTCCTTTGGCATTAGGGCAGGGATATCTAGATACTTTCCAAGGTTTGACATCATTAATTGTGCTACTTTTAAAGCAAGCAACGTTGTTTTCAAATCTGTAATCAAAAAGGTCCGTAAAAACACTATCGACCAATCAGATTGCTTGATTTGACTTGTCAGTTTTATAAATATATTTAAATTTCTTCCGTTACGAAACAAACTTACAAAGCATAAGATGGAAACATTTAAGACCTCCGGGGGGGTCTTACTATGGAGGAGTGGATTGAGCAGTGCCTATCTCCAGAAAAAAAAGCACATAAACGACGACATGCAGAGCTACGTGAAGAGCAGGTAGACCAACTGGAGAAGTACCACCATTCAAAAGCTTTCTGATGCGGGTCTTGAAACAAAGCAGAGAAATGATGACCGTTAGTGGCCACAGGTACGAAAGCTCTCTCCAGAGCTACTGAAAGCCCAATCTCGGGGACCGGAGAAAGTGCGATAATATATTATTTACTATAATTATATTTTATCAATAACTGTAAGCGGGGTAGCAGGAGTGTTTGATCAGCTATCGTTACCATAGGAACTACTTTCTAGGAACTACTTTCTGACGGAGATGAACTCAAGCAGAAAGCGTAGGTTTGGGAGCAAATTAGACCACATTATGACATTATTTTACGATATTGTTGATTACAATGATAGTTTGTGTAATAGAATCGCAATCATACACTTGAGGCCGTTCTTGAACGTCATTATTGGTACTCCAGTACAGGCTGCTTGCTTAATTGCTTAATTAACCCACTTTATGCTAATTGTGCAAATTGTCCAACATATACAGGTTAGCATCCGGGAGTTTCTAAGTGCTGAGGACCTTTACTAATCATTTCTAACATAGAACGTCGGGGTACTCAGCAGTTCCTGGTTCACAATATGAGCTGGCAACTAGGCGAGGAAGCTCATGCGTGAACTGTGATTCACCCCAAATATATGGCTTGTGTCAAGTCATTAGGATTGATTGTTCCCACATCTATTTAGAGTTTCTTTCACAAGAATGAATCTTGTCAAGTGATGCATAATCTGTGTTCTAAATAGTCTGACCAGTGTTCATGCATTCTTCTTTCCCAAAGGGATGCGGTACAAGCGCAGAGGAGTGGATACCGATGGCCATGTGGCTAACTATGTGGAGACGGAGCAGCTGATCCACGTGCACAGCCACACTCTGTCCTTTGTGCAGAGTCGTGGCTCCGTGCCCGTCTTCTGGAGCCAGGCGGGGTACCGCTACAATCCCCGGCCCCGCTTAGAGAAAGGTCAGCAGAACTACTTTATCTTGATTACAGTTCTATAGAGGGCGTGTCTCAGGTGCTTTGTGTAATATTGTATTGTAAGCTTTTTGAAAACATTCTTTATAGTTGTATCTTTTTATAAGAAGACATTTTAATCCTTACTAGGGCTGCACAATTTATATATTTTAGTCATCACAATATTTTCTATATTGCACTTAAGTTAGTTAAAAAAAAAACACACTGCAAACATAATCACACTATTGATGTGATTATTTTATTGTTCAATTTGTTGAATAATAGAATGTTGGAAATGATTTCCATTTATGTTTTTGATTCAAAAAGAAATGTTTTGTGTAGCAGTAAAGCGAAAGCAATGCCACACTGAGTCTGTTTATTCAACACTGTTGTCGTGCCCTATTCAGTACCAGAGTTCTCTTTGGGATTTAACACCTCTAGTATATTCGAGCTGTGTCTTACAAATGAACAAATATAATTATCTTGTCAGTCATCCATTTTTGCTTTTTCTTGTCTGTGAAATAATGTTTCGGCTGCGATTTGGAGAAAACGGTGGTTCTTTCTCCTAAGTTAAATTAATGCACACGTTTGCAAATTAGATCAGTTTACGTTTCAGTCAGATTCAGTAACGTTGAAATGATTTGTATGCATGTTTTGTTTGATTTTTCAGGAGAGAAGGAGACCATGTCCTACTTTGCTTCTCACTTTGACGAACAGCTTAAACTCTACAAGAAGCAGGTGGGTTTGCTTTGCCAGAGTGTGTGTGCGTGGGTATGTGCATAAGATATTTGTTGACTACTAGGATGCATCAGTCTTGTGTGAGAGATGCCTTTTTAAAAATGTATCGGCAATGTTACTCTTTCAGATGTGAGATACTATGTGCTTCATGTCTAGCATACCGAACACAATTGTTGTCCTTCCTTAAAGGTTCAGCATCTCATTGTTCGCGTACAGTACACAGGGCTGAATGACCACATTCTTTATCATCTTCTTCAGGTCATCATTAACTTGGTGGATCAAGGTGGACGGGAGAAGATAATCGGCGACTCATTTCTGAAGCAAGTCCTGCTTTACAACAACCCGAACCTCACATATGTTTCGTTTGACTTTCACGAGCACTGGTAAGAGAAACACTTCCCTCAGCAGTATAAAGTGAGTGTAGTTGTCCTTTTTGAAACCACATTGTATTTACTTCCCCTTTATTCTTTTTATATCCTGTGTTTCAGCCGAGGTATGAAGTTTGAAAATGTGCAAGTACTGACCGATGCGATCTCTGATATCATCACAGACATGAAGTGGGCCTGGTAAGTGTTTTGTCAGTGTTTTTGTAATTTTCAGAGTAATGCTGATATCATGAACTCTTGCTTATATTTCTCTATTGATTTGTTTTGTAAGAGAACTATAATAGGCTGCTAATATTTGGTTAAAGATTGTAACTTTATGATTGCATCCTGTTATAAATGTATCTTCCTCCATCAGGGTGGATCAGGCCGGAGTCATCTGTCAGCAGGAGGGCATCTTTAGAGTCAACTGTATGGACTGCCTGGACAGGACCAACGTGGTGCAGGCTGCTTTCGCTCGGGCCGTTATGGAACAACAGGTCAGAATTATCCTTGTCTGGCCAAAAAAAAACCTATATTTATAGCTTCTGTTATAGCTTGAAGGTGCTGCTTATTAAATATAATGTACTATTATACTTTACTTTAAAGGGGACCTATCATGCAAAATGCACTTTTGTACATCTTTTATACATGAATATGTGTCCCCGGTGTGTCAGGGAACTCACCAAGTGTCAGAAAACACAACCCTCTCTCTTTTCCTCCATACCCAAATCTCTAAAAACGGGGCTGCAACGGATCTGATACAAACTGATCCACATTTGAAAATTCTCTGACGTCAGAAACAAGGAGCTCCGCCTATATGGGCAACTCTCCACCTATCAGGGGAATGGGGGGTTGCCGTGGCATGGTAACAGCATGGTAGCAGCATGGTAGCAGCATGGTAACATGACACTCGTGCCTCGCCCCCCTGCAAAGGAGCTGTGGTCAGCTGCAGCTCATTTGCCACAGAATCAGCCCTTGTGAAGACAGGGCTGGAAAGAGCAAATAGAGCAAAATGAGGCATGGCTAAAATGCATGATCTGTTTGGTATTTTGAAAAAAAAACTTCACAGACATGTTTTGTATAGGTATGGCCCTACAATATATTATTCAAATATGGCATGATAGGTCCACTTTAAGACTGAAACTTGCAGTGTTCTTTATAAAGCGTGTTCCAAGCGGATTCAATGTAAATGCTCCAAGTCATTGTCCCGGGAACCCATTAAGAATGTAAAGAATGGCAATAATTACATATTATTTTAAAATATATTATTTCATTTATTACTATTGTTTTCAGAGTAACTACACATTTAACTCTGTTGAATATTATGCATTTTTAAACAATGATAATATAGAACAATCAACATCTATTGTCTAAAACTGGGACTACAAAGCACTTCACCAGCCTGATTCAGCAGACTGACTTGGCAGCATGAGTCCTTGTCTGTTTGTTTGTTGGCCTTTTACTTGTTGTTTGTAGAACAGATTACTGACATCTGCATACATTTGCTCATCAGATCAGACACACTGATGGCAGATCTTGGATGCTTGTAGAGCAAGATAGCGGAACAGATCCCTAGTGCTCATCGACACAACCATAGTTTGTACACCCATAATCAGTTTTAGCTTTCTAGAATTCCAGCAACTGCACCATATTCATCTCAGATTACATTTAATGGGAAGACACGAGTGTAAATTGATCTGTTTAATATGTAGCTAAATATAGGCTGACATTTCCCCTGGCTGATGCAGTGGTAGCTGAAATGGATGCGTCACCATGTGCTCAAACCGACAGCATCCCTAATGTGTCTCATCCTCCTGCAGCTGAAGAAACTGGGTGTGATGCCTCCGGAGCAGCCTCTGCCTCTCAAATGCTACAAGATTTATCAGATCATGTGGGCCAATAACGGAGACACTATCAGCAGACAGTACGCAGGCACAGCAGCGCTCAAGGTAACAGCATTGTCTTGGCACACGCATACACTTTGCCTAAAGAAACAGCAATGAAGTGAGATATTTTTTGACACAGTCAGTTAAGTGAATTGTTTAAGCTATTGAGGGATAAGCTTTCTCTGAAAGAAGACTCATAAATCAACAGAGCATATTGTAATTTAGTAGATTAAACAAATCAGAGTCACAAATATGGACTGAGCTGTTTGGATTTATAAGGATAGTTTGGATGTTTTAACACAGACGGGTGTGCTGACAGGAAAGCAAAGCAATGTTATACCTTATAAACTCCTTATTTAGAATATTTTCACCTCAACTTCTAACAGTCCTTTCCATTGAAGACCTGAAGCCTTAATCTTCCATTTGTGCCATCTTCAAAGCCACCAAATCCTATTGATAAAACCAGTGATTTTAGCTCACAGAACCCAGGAGATGCTAGTCTAACCCCCAAAACACACCAGGAGCGTCTGCGTCGCGTTACGGCCGCGCCGCGGCGGTCGTAAGGATCGCGGCCACTCTAGTCAATGGGTGCTATTACACCACACGCGCCGCGTTACGGCTCAGACGCGTCCCAGAAGCCGCTCGGCGCAGCGCTTCTCTAAAATTAGGATGAATCCTATTTTTGCCGCGGCGCAGCCGTAAGGTAAACTCCTCCCCCCATCCCCCCGTAGTCTTTCAAGTAGGAGAATACATGCCAGCGTTCTCCTCCGGTTTACAGGCACTGTAAATGATATATATAGAATAATTATGATGATGAATGCATATTTTTTTTTACCACTAAAATACAGCAACACATCTTTGATTCATGTCGTTTATAACTGGAATATTACAATTATTATTAACTGTGTCTGTAGTCTACAACACAACAAAATAGGAAATAACAACAATAAACACGATTTAAACAGACACAAACATAAACCATTTAACTACGTATAGCCTACTTACTTGTAGAAGTACAAATGTCCAGGATATATTCAAAAATCAACAACAACTGCGAGGCTGCACACACGACGCTCCGCTTCCGCAACGTTTTGAAACGCGTCTGGTGTGTGTTGTCGCAGGAGGAGGTCGCAGCGTGGCGCAGCCGCAACGTAACGCGGCGCAGACGCTCCTGGTGTGTTTTGGGGGTAATGCTGCCTTGAACGATTAGTTAGTTTATGTTATTGCGTGATTTTGGAGTCATTAAGGTTTAAAACGGATTAACCAAATAACACAAACAAACAGATCAATGCATCAGTAGACCAGCAACCCCCCCTGATCTGTGAGGTAACATTAGCCGCTTTCACACCAAGTACTTTGCCGTACTTAGTGCCCAGCACGGAACTAAGTACAGATCGCGTTCACACCGGAATAAGTTCCCTGAGGGAAGATTACGCAAATGAAGCCGCTGACGTCACTTCTTCTTCTTCTTCTGCTTTGGGTTTACTGGCAGGCCGCAAACCACTTCACGGCGTATACTGCCACCCGAAGTCCCCGGCCGGAAGTCCCCGGAGTTGGGGACTGGCTTCAGTAGAAGCTGCGGGGACTCCCAGCAGCTTCTACTGAAGCCTTCCGAGTAAATCGCCAGAACGCCGACACCTCCTCATCTCCACCGCTCCCATGTTTTCTTTTGTGTTGCCATAAGTTATTCTCTCTCCGTTGGTGCTCGGGGCTAATGATGCTAATGCCAGCAAATACAATGGCGGCTTCACAAAACTTTTCAGTGTTTTAAGGGGCGTGGTTTGCAATCCACCCAATTGAAATTGGTACTTTTTTCTCCCCAGGATAGTACCATATATCTATGGATAGTACCACCTCTCTAGCAGGGACTGAACATGGGGGTAAAAGGTCTCGGAACTAAGTTCTCTTTTTGGTGTGAACGCAAAACTCCAGGCACTAACGGAACTAAACGGGAAAGTGTGAACGCGCTTATTACAGTTTTTTCAATGGAATCTGGTGGCTTTGAAGAAAAAATACAAAACAACTTAGTACCTGATAAAACCCCCCCTCTGTATGATCTGTTTTCAGGGAGACTTCACCAGGACGGGGGAGAGGAGACTGGCTGGTGTGATGAAGGATGGCGTGAACTCAGCCAATCGCTACTATCTGAACCGCTTCAGGGATGCTTACAGACAATCCGTAATCGGTATGAAAAAAAACACACAAATGATATAATATATATTATAATATAACTATATTTGAATCCATGTTGTCCCAAGACTCTTCTATATCCTCTGGCTGTCCCTGCAGACCTAATGATGGGCCTGCCAGTGACGGAGGACCTGTACTCCATCTTCAGTAAAGAGAAGGAGCATGAAGAGAAGGAGATCGAGAGCCAGAGGGGAGCACAGGAGCAGGTCGGCCTCCTGCTGCAGACCTACATGCAGCTGCTGCTGCCTGACGATGAGAAGTTTCACGGAGGCTGGGCCCTCATCAATTGTGACATGAGGTTAGTAGCTAGCTGTCCTGTCTTTTTCTGTCTATTTATAATGTGTTTTCAGTATTTTCTGACGGGCTCTCTTCACGTTTTCTCATTACCCACCAGCCTTGTTGATGCAAACAGCAAAGACGTTGACGTGCTGCTGCTTCTGTCTGACAAAGCCTATTACATTGCTTAGTAAGTCTGACATTAAATTCACCAAAATGTTTCCTTACAGATATTCCTATAGATTAATACATGTTTGCATCTTTTTTCTTGTAGCTACGATGAAGAAGCAGATAAAGTCAACCAATACCAGCGCCTCAATTTAGAGGGATTGGAAAAGATCGAAATCGGTAAGAAGTTACACTCAAAGCAGAAGTGAAGGTTCTTCGTGTTCACTCTCTCTCTGAGTCACCCAACACTTCCCAAAAGTGTGCTTAACAGTTTCTCACTAACCTTTCGGCAGTATCTCCGCTCATGATTCACGCAAGGAAATTCATGCAATAAAAAATGAAGTTACAAGTTGTGTTTTCTTTTTTTGCAGGTCCAGAGCCTACTCTGTTTGGGAAGCCCAAGTTCTGCTGCATGCGTTTGCATTACAGGAGCGAAGAGACCAGTGGATACTTCCACACGCTGAGAGCAGCCACACGAAACCCTGAGGATGATGGGAAAGGTAGGATGTCATTTTAAAAGTGATTTAAACACCCAGAGAAGCAAACTTTTTGGATTGTAAATTGTAAATACTGTTTGAGACTGACTTTGTGACATGTTTTCAGACACATTACAATGCATAGCAGAGATGCTTCGCATAACTAAAGGGACCACAGGGCTGGACATGCTGGTGGTTGAAAAGAAGCTGGAGAGGTGAGTACTCATTTTCATTGATCATTTTCAACCATGTGCTGCACTTTTAAAAGTCTGCTATGATGTTAACATATCTGCGTCATACAAATGTAATTAATTAAAATATCACAATGACCAAATCATTCAATAACGATTTAACCCCTGTAAATCATGCTTTTAACATACACTGAACAAAAATATAAATGCAACACTTTTGTTTTTGCTCCCATTTTTCATGAGATGAACTCAAAGATCTAAAACATTTTCTATATACACAAAATAACAATTTCTCTCAAATATTGTTCAAAAATTTGAAAACATCTGTGATAGTGAGCACTTCTCCTTTGCCGAGATAATGCATCCCACCTCACAGGTGTGGCATATCAAGATGCTGATTAGACAACATGATTATTGCACAGGTGTGCCTTAGGCTGGCCACAATAAAAGGCCACTCTGAAACGTGCATTTTTGCTTTATTGGGGGGGTCCGAAAACCAGTCAGTATCTGGTGTGACCACCATTTGCCTCACGCAGTGCAACACATCTCCTTCGCATAGAGGATGGATTATCTCGGCAAAGGAAAAGTGCTCACTATCACAGATTTTTTCAGATTTGTGAACAATATTTGAGAGAAATGGTTATTTTGTGTATTTAGAAAATGTTTTAGATCTTTGAGTTCATCTCATGAAAAATGGGAGCAAAAACAAAAGTGTTGCATTTATATTTTTGTTCAGTGTAAGTTGCAACTCATCATCAGTTCAGTGTAATATCACCGTTTTTCAATGAGGAAAAATATCAAAAGAATTAAAATAATTCCAGTTAGAATTCCATTAATTTTGATGCATGTTTTATGCGGGGTGAGATTTAAAAAAGCAACAACAACCTCTTCTTACCTTTTTTTTATAGGACACATTTGAACCTATTTCAGTCCCGGTCATGACTGCCAATTATTCTTTCAGTTTCACAATGTTTACCCATAGCAGTTTGTTTACATAACTGTTTTATAAATGTGGGGTCTTTTAATTAAAAGAGACACTGAAGAGATAGAGCATTTAGTGTTGACTTAAACTAGGGGGATTTATTTCTCCAGTCTGTGATATGTCATTCATTAGTAACAACATAGATTTGAAATGCATTCCATCAAACACATAAAAACACAATGTTTGGAAACAAGGAAAATAGCATGTTTTTTTAGCCCCATCGTGCAAACATTACTAAATGTCCAGTGTGCGAAAAAGTACACGTCGCACCGTCCGGGACGTGTTATTTACAATATCGGACAAGTAGATCTTTCAATTGATTTGTCCGGTGGACAAGTGACGTTTTTCGCCCTGATTTATTGACAAATTATTGATAAATTCAGTTTACAAAAGGCAGAACTCATTCGCAAATTGTACGTGTCCGCCATTGTTCGTTTAGAAATGTTAGTTTCGGTTCTGCTTGTCGATTCCTAAGGAAATGCATCTCGCCACTTTCTGTACAGTTAGACCGGGATTAATAAGAGTTGTGAGGACAGGGGGCGGAGGCCGAGCCCCGCGGACCGCAGCTCTCTCTCTCTATGCTCCGTATCAGCTGATCGCTGCATCTCAGTCAGTCAGTCAGTCAATCAGTCGTGAGCAAAGTCAGCGTTTAGCTCCTACAGTATGTTGTTAATATTGACCGCCATTTCCTTTATGAAGTAAAGCAGCCTCCCTGTCTGTGTCCTCGCGCTGTCCTCACATCCCCGGACCCCTAGACGCGGAGGAGCACAGGGATGTCAGTATTGTTTATGAAGCAGGGTATAGAAAGTACATTATTGAAATTAAAATACTATTTATTTACTTTTACAAACAGTGAGCAGCTGGGCAGCTGCAGCATGTGTATTGCAGGACATGTGTAAGCGTGCAAGCGTCTTTGAGTTGTAGAAAAGCGCTAGGCCCATAAATATAATGTATTATTATTAGGCCAATGTGTTGGACATGTGTGGTTGGACTCTGTCTCACAGGCAGTTTGCAGTGTAACATCAGAGGAGACTGGGCCAATTGTACATTCTCAAACTGCACCACTTAGAACTAACTAAACAATGCAGAGATTATTTTTATATAATTGTATTCAATAACCGTAAGAAATTAAACAGTATGAAGTGATTTGTAAATAGGAATACAGATTTGACTTAATGTTTTCATAAATATATTTTTCTCCCAGTTTGTCATGGGACTTATTTTTACCCTCTCAAAGAACCGGAATCGAGAACCGAAAATAACCGGAATTGAAAAGCAGAACCGGAATCGTTAAAATCCAAACGATACCCAACCCTTTGTGTGATGCAGTAAAATCTTACCGCTCACTTACGTTAGCGGTGTCGTAAAAACCGTGGGAAAATGTAAAATACGATGGCCAAGAAGAAGATTCCAGTGGCCCCAATTTTTGTCCATTCTGGACAAGTGAAAAATGTATTCGGACAAGTAAATTGCCAAACTCACTTGTCCATGGACAAGTACTCTCTAAAAACTTTTTCTCACACTGATGTCTTAATGTGTTTGAAAATAATATAACTACAATTTTGAAGCCAAGGCTCTTGGGGGCGGTGGTGGCGAAGTCGATAGGGACTTGGCAACTGGAAGGTCACCAGTTCAAGTCCCGGCAAGACCAAGTGCTACCGAGGTGTCCCTGAGCAAGGCACCGTTCCCCACACTGCTCCCCGGGCGCCGTTCAAAATGGCAGCACACTGCTCCTAACACTAGGATGAGTCAAATACAGAGAAACAATTTCCCCACGAGGGATTAATAAAAGTCCATCTTAGATCAGGGGTGCCCAACCTGTTTTTAACCAACAGCTACTTTTAAAGTTGCTAGTCTGCCGAGATCTACCAGTCCAAATAGAGGGGAGCTATATGCCATACATTTTTGCATACATTCACAGTAAATATTTATTCAGTATGATAGCTGTCTAACAGAAGTTAAATTCATTTCTCACTTATTCTGACAATGTACTTAACCCCAAATAAAAGAACCCAATAAAAAGAGTTGTTAAATAATAGTGAAGTCACGTTGTAATAACAATAACGAGTTTTTTTTTTTTAGCTTTGCCAAAAGCCACTGTGTCAAGTGTACCCGGTCTCAGTACCGACCGGGCAGGGGGACGGATCAGGTAGTGACAGTCACTACCCGATCCGTCCCCCTGCCCGGTCGGTACTGCGCATGTGCGAGATGCTCCGCCATATTGGACAACTCCGGACGGCAACCCAAGATGGACACTTGACACAGTGGCTTTTAGCAAAGCTCAAAAAGAGAACTCGAGAGAGATGAGTTATTTTTATTACAACGTGACTTCACTATTATTTAACAACTCTTTTTATTGGGTTATTTTATTTGGGGTTAAGTACATTGTCAGAATAAGTGAGGAATGAATTTAATTTCTGTTCGACAGCCATATGCCATACATGTTTGCATACATTCACAGTAAATATTTATTCAGTATGATAGCTGTCTAACAGAAGTTAAATTAGTGACTGCAGGCTGCTACGTGTTAACCACACACACCTCTACACACACCTCTACACACATCTCTACACACATCAAACTGCCTGATTACTCCCCCTTTTATTAGTTTTATGACGGAGATGTCCAGTCACCAAGGCGCATGATGTGTGTGTACTCAGCTCAGCTCTGTGTGTTCGGTGTGTTTGTGTCTGTCCGACACCGGCATTTGTTTTCAAATGACCATGAACAGTAATTTACACACATCTGGCTAACTCCATAGGTAGCCTATATGCGGGTGTTTCCAAAATAAATTAGTTTAATCTTAATCTCGATGTAGTGCTAAATGCTGTCGGACGTGCACCAGAACGAACGTAACTATCATATCTTCTGTAAACAAATGCCAGTGATACACACACACACACACACACACACAGGCGACTGGACATCTCCTTCATAATGCGCCTTCTCCTCGTTTTCACAGCATTCACTGGATTATCCGTAAATCATACAAACAAAACCAAAACGTTGATTTATCTGTTTTCCCGTTTTGGTTTAAAAACTGAATAACGTCGTTTTTTTGGTTTTCCGTTTTTCCGAAAAACCAAAAAACGACACCGGTTCTTTTTTAAACGTTGTTAATATGTTTTGGATGCATATTGTTCTAGTATTTGTTCAGGCTGTTACATACAATTAGCCTCTGTTGCTGCTGGTGGTGAGTAAATATTCAAATCAGTTAAAATTGACAACCGGTCTGCGACTTTTTTGTATCTGCCGGTCCTTGGCACAATAAAGGTGGCGCCGCCGCCAGGGATTTTGGGCCCCATGAAAAGATATCACATTGGGCCCCACCACTAGGCCCAGGCCACGCCAACCAAGCACAATTGCTGTAACCACACCTCCAGAACCCAACCGACTCATTTATACTTTAAATAACTCTACCGGCTTGCATCTATCTTGTAGTCCAATACTAACTGCACAATATTTACTGACACTGAGCGGTGAAAATATAACACTGTGCAGACTGCAAATTCTACTGCAGTATAATTCACTATTTGATATAACACTAACATTCCTGACAATAGACCTCAATAGTCATCTTTTATGGTGTACATGCCTTTTTAATAAAAAATTTGAATGGAACATTCAAAAATCTAAATAAATATACATGACCTCTTAAATTAAAATAAAGTGAACATTAACAGTAACACCAATATTATCATTTATAAAATGCTATAACAAAAGAAATAACATAAGCACCAGATTTTTTTAATTAAATATACATACCAACTACAAAATAAGCGGGTATTAAAGTGTAAACGGACAACAAAACGGATATGGAAATGAAAAGGCCTATCACCTATTCTCAGTCTTTTTCTCATCATGCATCTTGTGTGTAGTGATCCAATACCGTTACCATAGCCTTGCCCTTTAACAGTTATTACTGGTTATTATTGGGGGCGGTTTTGGCGCAGTGGTTAGAGCGTTGGTCATCAGATCAACGGGCGTTGGTGAACTCCAGTTCGAATCCCGCCTCGGCCGCCACTGCGTCAGGCCGTTGTGTCCTTGGGCAAGACACTTTACCCGCTTTTGGGTAATGTCCGCAGTAATGACTCTTACATGTCTAATATGTGTAATGTGTACTTGTAAAGCGCTTTGAGCACCTGTAAAAGCGCTCTAATAAAAAAATGTAATGCATTATTATTATTATTACGATCAGCCTTACTCACCAAGAGCCCAGCGCCTAACCTTCTTACAGGCAAAGTCACTGATCAAGTCCTTGAAGTCCAGCTTTCTAGCCAACTGGCTTTCAATAGACAGCATGGCAAGACTGCAAAGCCTTATGGGGGACAGGGCTGCGGAGCCTAAAGATGGATCTGTGGGTCCTGGCACCAGGGGGAGGGACAACTGATTTAGTATGAATAGCTGCTAAAAATGTAACTGCATTTATTAAATGTCAGCTAAAAGAGGAGTGAAATTAAAAACCTCAGCATTTTTTGTGAAGATATTAACAGTACTTAATGTCAGCAAAACATTACAATTATTATTTACAATGGACTAAGCTTAGCTAACGGACTAATTTCCACCACTCATAGACCACACCCACCTCTTCTTTTGAAAAACTGGGTGACATACTGTTTTCTTTCTCTCCTTTCTTTTCTTTTTTGAAAGCCTGACTTTGTTAGTAGTAGCCTCCTCACATGCTCATTCTCTGCTGCTAGGAAGAGCGGTGCCGCGCAGTGTTTGAAGGCAGGACCAAACCATTACATGTAAATAGAGGGGGGTGTACAGAGGCTTTGGATAATTAACTTTTGGAAGAAAATAAGTGAAATGAATCGTAAGTTTAGTGATTACATTATCAATATAACGTTATATTAATGTTAATTATTGATGATTGATGAAAAGTTACTTACATTTTTTTTCTTAATGTTCTAAAAATGTTTGGGGCCCCTGTCAGTCACGGGCCCTTAGAATCGTCCTAACTTTTCACCCCCTTACGGCGCCCCTGCCCACTCACTGTCCACCAGCCACCACCCCCCCCGATACATGGGGTCACGCCAATCACAAAGCTTTGATGCGTTCAAGTGCTCAAGATTATGTTATAGGACATTAACGGTAAAACAGAATATTGTTGTTCTATTTTTAGACACATCTCGCGATCGACTGGGAATCTCAGTCGATCGCGATCGACTGGTTGGGCATCTAGATGTAATGCCTGATATAATACAATACAAGATTGTATGCTGTATTGGCCGAATATTCAAAAATGTGGTTTTACTAGGTTTCAATGGCTTCATTTTTGTTCTAGCTGTCTTTCTTTCAGCTACACAGTTAATTATTGACTGATTATAAAAGACCCACATGCTGGCCATCAAAGCACAACTCTTACTTTGTTATGTTTCTGTGTTCCAGGCGGCAGAGTAAACCTCATGAAGATATAATGGGCATCCAGAGCAAACCTGCTGACCAGGTGACGGGCAGCTCTGGTCTGGCTCAGGGCAAAAGTTTCCTCCTCAACAAATTCTCCTCCCTCAACCAGAAAGTCAAACAGACCAAGACAAACGTAAACATTGGCCCCTTCAAGCCCCTCGGTAGGCTGGGAAACTTCTCTAAACCCGATGTTAAAGTAAATTTCCTGAAACCAACTATGCATGTCAACCTGTGGAAGTCAGACAGCAGCTTGGAGACATCGGATAACAACCCCGCAGCAGCCCTGAAAGACATGGCTGACGGCCACTCTGAAATCTCCGACGACTCTGACTCCTATAATTCCGACACAGAGCTCCCGTGTTCTGGCTCTTTAGAAAACGTGGACTATGTTCTGCCCAGCTGCGGCATTGTAGCATCGCACCCCCGACTGGGCAGCCGCTCGCAGTCTATCGGCAGCGTGGAGCTAAATGTCCCCTCTGTTATCAGGGTCACTGGCTGCGACGGGAAGCAGGAGAGCCCCTCTCAAGACAGCGATGACAAGTCCCCAGGGGACGCCTCGGTGGCAGAAGAAGCCATTCTGATCGACTTTGGTACTCCCATTGATGCCTACTGCCACCAGTTTGTCCAGGATGCACAGACCAAACCTGTGGAGGTGTTTGGAGAGGTCCCACCAGCTGCCGTCCTCACGGTGCCTGTGCAGAATAAGACCCTAGCAGACTCTGAGAAGCAGCCCAGCTCCGAACCGCCGGCCCCGGAGGAGCCCCAGCTCCCAAGGCCCTCCAAGCTAGATGTCGACTCCACTACCTCCAGCGCCAACCTCCTCTCCGTCCAGAAGCCCAGCTCCGCAGCCTCAGGAGGCTCTCAGAGGAGCCTGTGTTCCCAGATGGAGGGCAGCCTCTGCCCCTCACCCGCAGACAGCAACGGCAGCCGAGTAGTCTCCCCCTTTGCCAAGATCAAGAGCTCCATGGTCCAGGTGGCCAGCCTCACCCAGGCGGGACTCACCCAGGGCATCAACTTTGCCGTGGCGAAGGTCCAGAAAAGCCCGGAGCCAGATACTGTCAACGAAGCCCAAGAGAACGAGCTGAAGGCAATGTTTACACAGTGCCAGACCAGGATCATTCAGATCTAGTGCTTTCCTTCTAGCAGGATGTTGTAGTCGTGTAGAAGCCTCCTGTATGGTAGCAGTAACAAAAGCTTGCACTTAGCGTCACTACTCGGCCAAGAAATGCGCTGTTGAATTTGCCCTTTAGTTAATCCTGCCTGTGTTGATGACTATTGTACAGAATTTAGAAATATAAACCACGGCCTAACATGACAGTGACCATGTTTACATGCACATACTTATGGATTCCTTACTCTTAAGAGAGCACCGATTGTCTTGTCTAGCTTTTTCATCTAATGACGGTTAGCTCATATCCATTTTTGCCACGCAACATGCGCAATGTCAGGAGTTATGATTCCCATGTTCCAATTTTATAGAACATTTGATATAAATAAGTGTATGTACATCCAAATACTATATAAATCTAGAAATAGCGCTGCCGATTAAGTAAATAGTTTGTGAATTTTCCTATCAAATTGCAAGGAAATTATTATCATGCTCAACTTAAGACATAAATAACACGTTTTTAAGATATTTTAAACCGTACGTCCAAAGTGGTATGCAGAGTATTTTTGTGCATGTAAACATGACACTAAAGTAATTATACCCACAGTGCTTGCATGTGAGGTTAAGGCTAACTGATTTTAACGAGGCAGGTTGACAGTAGCTGTACGTTGAAAGACCAATCTGACTTTATCTTATACTGTACGTCACCCTGTATGTGCAGGTCACTTATCGGCGTTTGTGATATAGACCTCGTAATAACCTTCGATTTGTAACATGTTGTTGTAGAACCCGACCAAAAATCTTTTGGGATTTTCCTCAAAGGACAATTGTGTGTTAACGCTCCTTTGCATAGCTGTCAGAAAGTAGCCAGACGACATACTGTACGTAGTTCTCCTATGTAAAATCAATGTTGTCACGTGTAACTTAGAGGATATACCTTTCTAGAAATCATGACTATGTTGATATGTACAGTGAGTATCGTATCTGTTCCCTGAGTAGAGCCTTCCTTTAAAGCGTTTTTGTATTGATGGTAGGGTGGCATCTTAACGTGTTCAAAGAGGTATGAGAATTATATTTTGAAAGGAACGCCCAGCACTGTCCATGCTGACCCTGAATAACCAGAAAACTGCTGATTGGAAATTGATTTTGATAGATCCGATAATGGTTGTACTTTATGAGGGATTGTTTGAGTCCTCGGCCAGCGTTGTACATTGACGTCGCATGTCAGGAGAGTAGCATATAGTAGATATATATGCAATTGCACCCATCCAATTATTCGAAACACTGACGCTTTATGCACTCCCTAAACTGAAATCTTATTTGCCTTAACAGGGAATTGAAGTGGGATTATGTATATCAGGTATTTATGGCAAAATCTACCTTTTTTTAAAGTCCATTCTTTACATGTTACATTGTCGTACTGTATAAAAAAAAAATCATGTTCAGGGTTTTGTCATCAAGCTTTATCTAGGGATATTTCATCCACGGGCACAATCGTTCTCCATGGAAATGAGCGGGTTTTTGGACATGTAAAGCAGTGGGTTGGAGTGTGTATGCTGCTGGTATTTGGGAGTCCTAGTTATATTTATATGCTATAAAGCCGTAAACATTGTTATACTGTACATGTCGTTCCGTTAACCTCAAATAGAGAGGTTTCACCCGTTACTGTCCTCCTCCACCACCTCATCACGCTGCTGTGTATATCCGTGTCTATCTATGATAAATAATATTAAGATTTGCTTCAAGATGAAATATCCCAAGATAAACGGTCGCACGTTTCATATTTTTGTGTTATATTTGCGTGTTTTCTTCAGTTGGCTTGCTCGCCAGCAAATACTTGTATATTTGATTGACTATAATTATGGTCAGGGACATTATATAGTTATGACCTGCTGATAGAGTGTGGTGCTGCCAAAGCTTTAGGGTGGAATGCAAAGTTTGAATGCAGAGGTTGGAAGGTGTTTTTCTTTTTTTAATATTAACTGCAGGACATTGGAGCAGTTCTCAAGCAGAGCAGAAACGTATTTCTGTCCCAAACTTGCTGTGTTGCTAAAAGGAACAATAATCCTCAACATTCCCGATATAGACCACAATGCAACAGTGTTGGTGTCTGGTTTTATATGCAACAGATGGCATAGCTCTATGATCCTATATTTGCTGGGTGAGATTTCTCTCCTTTCCGTTTTGTTTTTACACCAAGTGCTTTGCAACACCTCTTGATTTTTTTGTCTGTGGTTGACCTCCCCTCTTAATAGGACCCCTGACCATGAAAAAAAAACATGTGACTAGAGGTCTTAAAGCATTTGATTTGCACTGTTTTAGCACATTTTCTAGCATTAGTACCATATCATCTGAATGTCCGTACTCATTACTTTCCTCTTTACCAACTGACTGTTGTTTTCCACGGTGTACTGAGATTGTATTGTATATTAAAGTATCCTATTTATTCTTATCCTCTTTGTGTGTGTTACTTGATAACAAAATATCAATTTGTTTAGGAAGATATTCCATTGGAATAAAAAGCGTTGCATGGACAGTAAGTCTCCAGCATATCAAATCCATCTTTATAAAGATGGAAATGAGCTAAATGTATAAAGAAATAATTCAGACTGTTTAAAGTGAAGGTATATCTAAATCTCATTTGCATCTCAGTTCTGTAAATAAGTTGAATACGACAAACCATGACATGAAAAACATCTTTATTACAAACTTTTTTTTGTAGGTATCAAAAAGAAAAACAGAAGGCGTCTTGTTTCCTCGCGGTGTGATCACGGCTCGTTGCCGTTCAGACACTTCTGCTGCTCCACGCGGCTCCTGCGCAGCACCTCGATGTGTTTGGCCCTCAGCCAGCTGTCTGTGCACAGAGACGTCAGCCCCAGGCTCAGAGACAGCAACCTGCAGACACACCGTCAGTCAGACACAACTACACCAAACACTGAGAACAAAACAGTTTCCTGGCCTCCGTCAGACAAACACTAAGTCAACGTATTTCACAACTCTTTAGGTTGCATTCACCCTTGAAGTGAATGTCCCTGCTTATGTCATATCTGGCATTTACATTGTTGGTCATGATGTCTTGTTTAACACTTCTTTGAAAGAAGGCTTTATATACTGTTGTTTATTATTCTCACTAGATCAAAAGTTAAGCAATGCCAAAAAAAGGAGCTTATATAAACATAATCCTCGTGCATCGACACGTCTGGCTTTTCAGACTGATCGATCATTATAGCGGTGTTATTGATAGGGTAGGGTGTGAGCTGTAACCTCAGCTCCCATAAAGGACCCTAAAGCTGTATGATCAACATTATTGGTTTTAACTTTTGCATGCATTCTATTATATCGGGCTTTCAGCCAAGAGCCCTGGCTTCCAAAGTCTTTTCGGTACTTTTTTTATACCATATCGAGACACTTTGTCACGTTAGAGCTATAGAGCAAACACATGCCATTGTCCTGGCTGTTGTCTTATGCAATGCATCAAATCTAATCATTGACATCACAGACTTCTAAAAATCCCTTAAACATTCACTATACAGAAAATACTTCCTTTTCTTTGGTGGCATCATATAAACACACTAGCATTTAAATGGTTTGGATTTCTAAAAATCAATGAATATTTGGTAAGGACAGTTATATATAATTCATATCAACTTTATGGCTGTATTTGACCCAGAAGTTCTTTCTCCTCATTAAATGAAATGTAGGTGGAATGGTTATTGACAGCCCACCTCGACACGACCAGCATACTGTGGAGGTCCTCAGCGGAGACGCTCTGAGGGTCGTCCTTCCTCATATCTACAAAGTCATCCTCAACTGACTGAGGACAGCAGAAAGGAAAAGGCAGTTAAAGGACACTGAGGCGGACGGATGATAACTGCTAATTCAATGGAAACACACAGGCCTGATGGGAACAACTACCCTTCAAAACAATTAATTACACTGACTTTGATTTGTGACTGCTGCTTATTTCCCCATGGCTCTCACCTTTGTCATTTCGTCAGAGATGCTGTAGTCCAGCAGCCGAGCCACGCTCAGGTACATCCTGAACTTGTTGAGCTGTGAAGCCTGGGGGTGCATGTGCAAGCTGCTCAGATACTCCTCCATGTTGGGGGGCGCGACCTGAGACTGTAGGTGTATCTGGCAGTCCGACTGTGGAGATAGAGGAAGAAATGTTGGCATCGTGTAAGGGAAGAACTTAACCTTTTTACAGGTGTTGCTATGCAGATCAAGCTCTGCCTGCTGTGTGCACACGCTTATTCTGACAGGCGTGTGCACAGGCATCAGGCCAGACAGGAGCAAAGCGCTCTGACCGTGAAGCTCTGCAGCAGCTGGAGGGTCAGACTGATCATCAGCTGATAGTGTTCACTGTAAACACAGGCGGGCACATCTAACCAGCCTGGGAGTTGTTTACGGCGCGCTGCCCTTCGCTGCACGACTAATAGAGTGCCGAGCCTGCCGCCTCTCCCAGGATTGCTCCTGTGACACACAGCTGCCGCCATGGCAACACGTTAGACCAACACACAGGAATAGCACACGGCACATTCCTCAGGCTGTTCGCAACAGAGTGAGACCCGGGCTAAAGCCTCCGCCGCCTGGGTTGTTGCTGCGGCCAACCAATGACAGCGGCCGGAGACAACCTCCAGCGTCAGACGCGTCTCACGAGAGGCTGCAGGAAACCTAACCCCTCCCTGGCCGTGCCGTGAGATTTTTTTGTCCTGAGGTTGCACGCCCCGTCCCTCTTTGTCCTCACCGGCAGCAGCGAGCGTCCCTCTGACGCGGTGAGCACGTTAATATTGCAGGGGAATTCCATCTGGTGGTAGTTAAAGTCATAATCAACCTTCTGCCACGAGATCAGGTTCCCCAGGGCCGTGATGTTATGCACACCTACAGGACAAAAACAAAGAAGAGAAATCTGGTTTGTGTCAGGACACTCAAATCACACTAACAGAGTCCGCAGTTGGACATTATCTGCAGCGGTCGTCCTCTCAGTGTCGTCCCCTCGTGGAGATGCCTCACCTGTCGTGTCCAGCTGTCCCTGCTCCAGCTGGATCTCGTCCAGGAACAAGGAAGTGTGTTTGGCCAGCTGCAGGGCTCCGCTCACTAGCCGGTTGGCCACATAGTCCTTCTTTGGCACGAACTTCATCTGGTTCATATTCTGGAGGCTCATGGCTAGATAGAACGACTGCAGAGGGGGAAACATCTTTTAGTGCCTTACATTTAAACCCAACATTAGTGGATAGAAAAGCAGTGGCGGTTGCTTGGATTCACTCACAGAAGGCACCAGCTGCTGGATGACCTGGTAGAGGCGTTCAGTGTACGAGGAGACCGTAGGACAGCCACTCAGGTTCAAGGAGAATTTTCCCAGAGGGAGAACATCCCTTCTGCTGTACCTACAAGAAACCAACCATAATGTGGAATTAAAAAAACCTCTTTTGGCTTTCAGGAAGACACAAAACAAAGATAGGACGGTTGAACTGAACTTCACATACACGTTAGAAATGAGATGCAGGATGAGATACTCGGCAGCCAGGGCATCTCCCAGCAGGATGTGAGTGAAGTATGTGAGCAGCTCCGCCCTGACAGCAGCCATCTCGCTCAGGGTGGACGATAAAACTGAGGAGGAAGGACAGAGAGTTACAACAGGTCCCTATGGTAACTGAAGGCATGTGTGCTTTACTGTGGAGGACATTCACAACATTGTTACTCTTGTTGGACATCCCTGAACTTCAAAATAATGGCCCCTTTGTTCTGCTTCCACAGAGCAAAGGGCCATAGATCATTTGACTTACTCGCAGGTATGATGAGCATTTGTTTAAATGTGGGTTTTCATAATAGCTTAGTTAAGTGTGGCACAGAGAAAGCTATTTATTAGATGTCACAATCACCATTTCAAACTTATCATATTTCATTTCATCTTAACACAATTAGTTGACGCATCATTTCAGCACTAAAATAAACGCCTACTTACAGCTCTGGAAAAATATCGAGGCCACTGCAGCATTATCAGTTTCTCTGGTTTTACTATTTATAGTATTAGTTTGAGTAAATGAACATTCTTTTATTGTATTCTACAAACTACTGAGCACATTTCTCTGTGTTGGAATTCAGCAGACACTGGAATGGAATGGCTGCCATACACGTAGAGATTGAGATTTAAGAACAATTTGGAGTGGTCTCCTTATTCTTTCTGTAACGATCTGAACTCAAAGTGTACAAAAACACAGCATAGTAATTAGTATCACAACGCATCTACACACTGTGTAATTCAGCATGAAAAGGCACTTTGTATACATTTGATGATTTTTGAATTTAAAGTACTTTTTTCAACTTTTTGAAGCGGTGCAGCTGGACTCAGATGATACATGAATACAGTGTAGGCAAGAGAAGGCAACATTTGTCTAAGGATGTGTTGTCCTAGTGATCATAATCCAAATAGTTTTCTGTTTACATATCACTTTTCACCACAAAGCTCCCGTGTTGGTTTGGTATGAATGGCACATTTCAACAATCCTGTTTGCTGAGCTATTTCAAAAGATCCACTTCTACTCTGCACTTGCATTTCAAAACATGCAACATGTGTCAAAGCAAACTTCTATAAAGCAGCCCGTTACACGACACAGATGAATAGCAGCTAGGCTTGTTTACATCTGTGTAACAAGTGTGGCGATGCAAACTGTTTGCAGCAGCAGTGATTCCCCAGAGTTTGTTTTCCTCATTAGAAAATGATATACATAGGAAAGGTATACCCGCAAAAAGCGTAAAAGGGCCTCTAACAACATGAGGGGATGCAAATATTCTTGATACTGGCATTTGCAGTCGTGTGCACACAAAACCACAATGATGTGTCCTTACAGGCACTGCTGTCCTCCAGGGTGGGGGGGAGCAGGGGGTTGTTGTGCGGCAGAGGCTTGGCGTAGAGCATGTGGAGGCGAGGCACGAGCGAGGCCGGCGGGCAGTGCACCCTCTGCTCCTCCGCCGTCTCCATGGAATCCGCCGGGTCCAGGAAGGAGGAGGAGGAGTCTCTGTGTGAGCACGCCAACAATGAGCAGCAAGCACGCAGATCAGCACTGAAGGGAAAGTAAACTAAATGCTGTGTCTTACTTCTCGACGGCCAGAGCGCTGAGAGCGGGGCTGACGGAGAGGATCCCGTAGACCTCCAGTGTGTCGTTGAGTTTGAAGCCGTCCCATTCAGCGTACACCTGCCGGAAACACACACCTGTTACAGGGTATATGTAAACCTTTTAAGACCCTTTCCATACATTTTAAGACCTCATCGTCACTTTGAGTTTTAACCGGTTACCTTGGCGACACACTTGACCTCACATTGACTATATACAGTATTGATTGTCCTTCCTCCTTATCTTCCAACCATTTGGACGCAGACTTGCATTTCCCCATAACGATGTTGCTTTAACAACCGGCGTAAACGGACGTTATCAAGCGGTGAGCGCGCGATGTCCTGTTCAGATGACGTCAAACCCAACGGGATGCCATAAATAAACTACACAGAATCACACTACACACCTACGCCATGATTACATACAGGCACACTGTAGAATACAACCTCTTTGGACCATTCATATACTTATTGAAAACAAGCTACAAAATGTAATACCTTGGAAAATGCCGTTTAATACTTTTTAATAGCCTTAATTTTCGCTAAATTGATCTATCAACTTTTAATACTTTTTAAGACCCCGCGGACCCCCTGTGTTAGCTTCTGCTCTCCACTGGAGAGTCTGCTGATAACAGTGGGGTCTCTGAAAACCCTCACTGAGACTTTCCCGTCCATATCATGGATTTTCTTGAAAAAAACGAGGCTACAATTCTGTTTAATTCATGGGAACGTGCAACATTCTATAACTCTACACCAAAATTCAAATGATGAAAGTGTGATGAATCTGCAGTTATTATTAACACCCCTTTCCCACAAAATACAGTTTTTAAATAACCCTTTTCGGACTAATATACAGTCAAAAAGTGTTTTTTTCCAAGCTATTATAGGAAGATCTGTGATCAAGATATACAAACTACACAAAATGAATATGTGGTTGCAAGTGAACTTGAACTTTTTTGGGGTAAAACATGATTTATTTCCTGATTTTGATTACTTTAAAACATTCAGCAACAACTCTTTACATAAACACATGCTGTACATTTTAAGTTAAGGGTTTCAGTAGTTGAGTACACATTTTAACACAATTCAGTGCAAACATTTAATTGGGGAGGATAAGATATATTTATTTTTTTCTTTAAGTATTCGAAGTCGAGCTATAAGACTTTAGCCAATCCGGTGAATTCAGTGTTTACAGAAACAGAGACCAAAGCATACACACCTTGACGAGGCAGGAGGGGCCTTTCTCTCCGGGCAGGGGGAAGTTGAGGTCGAGGTGGGAGGCAGGTGCCGTCTGGTTGGAAGGAGCTTCTGTCTCCCGCCGCTTACACTCACCGTTGCCATGGTGTTCTGTGGGACTCTGAAGACCTGCAGTGAGACAGGGAACAGTCTACATTCATGGCCAAAAAACACACACAATATACTGTAATTGTTACATATCAACATATATATATATAAATGTCAAATAAATCAGAGCTTTGTAATTATTTACAGCTCATCTTTCCGTCAACCTGTCTCTACCCCTGCTGCAGCTAGCAGTGTCCTACAATCTCCCAGAGTGCCTAGAGGCAACCCTAACATCACTAATACGTGTGTCAGAGGAGGAGACACATGCTGGAGCAGATCAAGGGAAAGTCACTAATTGATCATAATGCAGTAAAACACTACCTTCCAATGTGAATTTGATTGGTTGCAAAATGTCTTTATGGGAACAAGACAAACACTTCTGTTTACACACCAGTATGCTGTTCCCTCTGCTTCTGCGGCTGTGTGTCCATGTCGTCGTCGTCTTCCTCGTAGCTGCGTTTCTGTCTCGTCGGAACATAAGAGGTGGACGGAACCACTCTCGCTTGGCTTGAGCTGGCATAGCTGTGCGACAGAATTAAGGAACAACTAGGGAGCAGTTTTCAAAAACACTTGTTGGGTCCAGCAAAGAACAAAAGACCAAATCCTGTTCAAGGGAAATCACCATTTTTTAAATGCACAATTTGGACAAATAAGGATATCTCTTTCACCCAGGGACTCTCTCCGGGGATTGGCACGCAGTAGAAAGTCTGTCTCTCTGCAGTCACTGTGTTTTTGGAGTTCAAATCCACCTGGAGATAGAAAATGTTTTCTGTTAGCAAAGCTGAAGCTACATTGAGGTATGTTTAATATCTCTTAGTGGAGAGGGACTTACCCCACATTCCATCACATCTTTGTACTTCCCGCATTTCAACACCTGAGGATAGCCAGAAAGTAAAATGAGATGCAAATGTGATGACATCCAGCACATTATCAATGTGATTGTAATTGCAAATATCTGCACAGGAGACAAGGAAGCGCTTACTTTTGCCTTTGTAGAGGGATCAACAGCCTCATACGCTCCCATGTAGAACTCTGGATCGAACATGTCTTGGATTAAACAGCGGAACTTCACCAGGCTGTTGGGCTTCATGTAGTGCAGTGGGACATCGTTCAGAGAGGGGACCTGCGATAGAATAAGGACTGGTGTCAAATGCAGGAACTGAAACAGCCTTTGACATTGACAGGCCTCTTTGAGGAGTTTACAAGTCGAAAGGATCTGCAAGCTGCATTACCCAGGTCTGAGCGTCCTTCTCTTTCAGGTGATCTTTAAAGAATTCAACCGCTTTCGCCTCCCATCCAGAGTTCGGATTGTTCTGGGAAGCAGCTGGAAACATAAATAACAAGAGCATTATATGATACTTAAAGTGACAAAATCATTAATTGGCCAGAATATTAGAAAAAGTTGTATCCAAAAAAAGATTATACATTTATATGTCAGAACCATGTACATTCAAATATATAAAATGAAGGACATACAAGATATAGCATTGTCCTTTCAGATTGGAACAGTAGAACAATAGGCCAATTATTACTATTTAATTAAATAAAATGAATAATTAAAAAAATAATGTATATGGATAAAATACATCTGAATAAGTTAAATAAAAGAAAAATGAAAATGTTTTATTTCAGTCTAGAAATGTTGCATATCGTCCCTTCTTACTTATCTTTTTAAACCTTTAATAATAGAATACCTTGGCTTTGAGAATCCCCGACATTGTATGGGCTACAAATATCAAATAAAGTAAGCATGGGATAAAGATAGAAATAATTATGCGTGTAATTTTGATGGAACAATGCGTTTCTGGAACAATAGTTATTGTCATTAAGTGTTTAGAGAAGTTAAGACCGTTTTACATTACTTTAACACACTTTAGACCCGTGAATGCCTCATGTTGTGAATGGTTGGATGTGTGCACACAGGTCTACAAACCAAACTACACACCCAGCACTTCTTGTAAAGAAAAGTGAAACAATGCGCTCATACAAGCTGCAACAAAGCAGCATCGGCAGTTAAAGCACACAACTAAGTTATTAGCCATTTCTGAATGATTGAAAAAGACTACAAGGGATGAGCATGGTAGTTAGCATGGTAAGTAGCCATAAAGCTAACTAGCTAGGTTCACGCGTTAAAGTTAGCTGTCAAGGAGAGAAGTTCCGGTGTGTCTCTTACCGAACATCCCTTCAACAACACCGAGAGGGTTGTTAATCCAGTCATGTGTGGTAGGCATTGTTGGCCACTGACAAAAATGGCAACAATATTTTATTTTAAATAGCAGAGTAAAATCTCTGGGAAAACTCTATTTTGTTGACTTTCGGCACACACCGGATGGCAGAAGTCAGGGCGGGAAATTTGCGTCACCAGTCGCTCGTTTGTTTTGTTTACAGGGTCCATCCGGAGCACGGAGCTATCACACTTTCTGAATTACTGTGCCTCAGTGGGTTAGGTGATTTGGTTTGAGGTTGCCTGTAAAGTGAGACTAAAAATAATAAACTTTTTATTTTAAATGATTGTAAATCAATAATATCAGTTTGTTATTTAGCATATTTAAAAGGTTATAATGTCACCTCGGAGCTAATCTCGTTGGCCTGTAGGTGGCAGTAGTGTGTGAGAGTGTTTGGTTTTCCTACAACCAACGAAGTGCTGTCAAAGGACCTGCACGATTTCCGCAGATCTACAAACGACGTGTCGCGCTGTGTTAACTCTGTTAATGAGTTGGAGATCTTTGAAAATCTGTGAGGGCAGGGACAAGCTTTCCCTGGACCTGAGCGTTTTCTGCCTGCCTGCGAGTGGCTACGTGTAATTCAAGGGAAAATGGCAGATAGGAGAATTAATAATGTTGCCAACACCAGTGCAAATTTACTGTTCAGCGGCGCTCCGGAGTTTAACTTCAACCTGCCTTTCATGCCAGTGAGTCAGGCCACTGGTCCGGCGGTATTGTCAGGAGGTAAGCAGCAATACCGACTGAGAAAATGTCTAAACATTAGCTGTGTCGTTAGCAGGCTAAGCTAACAGCTAGCCCAGTTCCTGTGCTGCTTTAAGCGGTCATTTAGTGTAAAAGAAGGTTAAACCGCGTGTATGAGCTGACTGAGAGGTTAGCCTGTTGACAGTGATGTGTTCTGGTCAGACTGTCCTCTGTCTGATGTGACATGAAGAGGATGTGAAGCTATTTGGGAGTCATATGATCAAAACATGTCCTGTCTTTAAATTGGCCACATCTTGCTATCTAAGTTATTTTACAAGTCCGTTTCTATAAAATCTATGAGCCATTAGCTGCTGTTTGTTTCCGCTTCCACATAATCCTCAATGTAAGGTCCGTGTTGTGACAGCTGAGCTGATGTACTGTTCTATAGAGCTTAGTTTCATCCTCCAATTCTAACCAGTTTATTAAATACATTTGACAGAAAAAGGAACGTTGATTAATAATGTAAATGTGTAATCACTGATTTAAATGTCTTTACTGTGAGAATATGATGCTTGTAAATTGAGTAAAAATCAAACATCTTCATTAGGAGAAAACATGACATTTTAAGATGTCACCTCGGCCCTGCATAATTCTGATGTCCATTTTCTCAAACGTTTACCTGGGCTGTCCGTTGAAGAATCACAAATAAATGTGCTAAACTTCAATTTTCTGTTTTGATTTAATAGAAGACTCGACTGATGTTGGAGAAGAAGACAGCTTTCTAGGACAGAGCTCTGGGAATGGGACAGCCCCCTCTACATTCAACTACTTTTCCAGCCCCTCAACCAGCAGTGACCCGTTCGCAGCCATCGGCCAGGCACCATGCCCCCCGCCGGCCCTCTCCGCAGCCCCAACATCAGCAGGGCCCGTTTCTGTTCCCAGCAGTATGGGCATGGCTCCGGTGGCCCCTCCAGCTTCACACATGAACCCCGCTCCTCAGGCGTTTGGCAATGCAGTTTACCAGAGCCCTATGGGCCGTCACACTCCTCCCCCCGCCTCAATGACCCCACCACCTCCCCAGATGCAGCAACAGAGTCATAACCCGTACCGACACACCACCAGCAGCAGCAGAGCCAGTCCCTATATTCCATCTCCAGAGGTCCTGCCGCCAACACACACACCTCAGCAGAATCCATACTCCCTTGGCTCTCCGCCGCAGACATTCCCTATGTCCGGCCCCTCATTCACAAAGGTACATATCAGCTTATCAGTGACTGTGTTGGTTTAGCTTTTTTTAAGATACTTAAACTCATACTATCTCCACTGGGCGTAAGCCTATTGGAGATAATGTGTTCTGTTGTCTCTCTGTGTGTCTTGTCCATCAGCCAAATAATTAGTTTGCCCTAATTTGTGACTGTAAATTCAAGGAGTGGTTACAGGGATTAACACTGTTTGAATAACCCAGTTTATTTGCTGTTCTATACAATCATTGACTGCAGACTTCTCACTCCCCGTAACAGGCTGATCAACAACTGCTTCAGTAGTAAATGAGAGTTTCTGAAAATCACCTAGCCTTAAAACAAGCTATAGATTTCACATGTTGACCTTGAACTGAAGCATCTGCAGATTCATTCCAAGATATGGATAAGTTGTGATGCAGTTAAACATATATATAAGACAACTACATACCAGTGAATGTTATCTTTGTTGTCAGCTGGATTTGAAGGGAGCTGAGATATGAGAAAGTGCACTTTTCTAGTTAGGTTAATAAATAAAACGACCTTCGTGCCTCAAATAACATCATAATCAGTGAAGAGGAGTTTATAATTAGTATTCCTTCTTCAGCCTCCTCCCACACAGTACCAAGGGCCTCCGCCTCCACCCACCGCTGCCGGAGCCGTGGTTCCTGCTGGTCCCATGATGCAATACAACTACAACATCTACGAGCCTGTTCAGCCTCACTGGTTCTACTGCAAGCAAGTGGAGTCAAAGAGCGTCTGGCTTCCTTTCAGCATCATTGACTCCCTTCAGCTGGAGGAGACGTATAACTCAGGTGAGGTGACTCGTGCTAATTTAGTGGGAATGTTTCTCTACAGAGAAATCAGAACGTGTTGGTGCTCTTAATGAAACTGTGATCTGTTCTGATGCTTTTATTCTTCCAGTTCAACCAGACCCAGAGAATGTGATCATACGTACGGATGGAGGGCGTTACGACGTGCAGCTTTATGACCGCATGCGCTCCTCGGTGTTCTGGGAAGAGGAGCCCACGGAGGTCCGGCGCTGCAGCTGGTTCTACAAGGGGGACACGGACAGTCGCTTCATTCCTTACTCTGAGGAGTTTAGTGAGAAGCTGGAGGTTTGTACCACTACTTCATTGATCCAGAAACAGATATTGTGTTTATCAATCATTTACATTTTTCATCCAGTCCTTTATCGACTCTATTGTGTTACTATGTATTGTAATGTAGCATGTTTTTAACTTTAGGGAGAATATAAGAAGGCTGTGTCCACCAACCAGTGGCACCGCAGACTGGAGTTTCCATCTGGGGAGACTATTGTCATGCACAATCCGAAGGTAAACCATTGTTGGTTATTGTACAAGGTTGTGTTTGTGATAATAAATCCTATTTGTTTAAAAGTAAGTACTTTCCTTCCATAGGTGATTGTGCAGTTTCAAGCATCCTCCATGCCAGATGAGTGGGGCACGACTCAGGACGGGCAGACCCGGCCCCGAGTGGTGAAGAGAGGGATCGATGATGACCATGATGAAGTGCCAGACGGTAGTGAAGTTCCCTTGTGCCCATCTTTATTTAATTTTAGAATAAAACTACATTTGTACTATGTCAATAAAGCTGCCAGACATCATTAAAGACAGTGAAGTCGCATTACAGTTTAATGAATGCTTTAGTTTGGGCATAAATCCTGTTAAAGGCACACAACAAATATGATGAGGAAAAAGACACAAACAATAAATATATAGATATTTATATATAATTAAATAAATCAAGTCTACAAAAGTCATAGCAGATTAAATGTTGAGGTATCATGTTGTGAATGTATTGCAGCCTAATTGCAAACTAACAGTTCAGGTTATATGTGCAGATGTAACCATGGCGATAAGTGAAGGTGTAGAAGTAAAATTCAACATTTCCAACCTGTTCATCTTTTCCAGGGGAGCTCCCGTCAGTGGATCATCTGGTGTTCATGGTTCATGGAATCGGTCCCGTGTGTGACCTGAGGTTCAGGAGCATGGTGGAGTGCGGTGAGTGCCAGACAGTCAGGCCTTTAGTCAGTGAATCTCCTCCATGAAGGTATTTATGTGTTTAACTGAACAATTCCTTTGTGCTTTCAGTGGACGACTTCCGCAGCGTGTCTCTGAAGCTGCTGCACAGTCACTTTAAGAAGAATCTGGACGAGCAGACCATCAGCCGGGTGGAGTTCCTCCCTGTGCAGTGGCACACGGCTCTGCATGGAGATGCTACCGGGGTGGACAGGTGAGGGAATACTTCACACCCAAAATGACCATTTGTGTATCAAAAACTCAACATGGGTCTCTGGAACTTCTCAGATGCCTCCACAGTGAATGATGAATCCAAAAACAGAGAATAGCTGTACAGCTGGGGACTATTTTATATTGTGGAATAATACTTAATTGGTGCTGTTGTGACTCAGCAGCAGCAGGACATTGTATAAGGTACAGTGTTTGGGTTCATTGTAATGAAGGAAGTGAAACTAAGTTTGGTTTTTAGTCTTTTTCAAACAGAAATTGAGCTCTTTGTCTCAGAGGAATAAAACTTCAGCCCACACAAAAAAGACATCTTGGTTTTGGTATTTTGGTGGCATTTGTAAACATTAAGAAAAACATAATACCAACAGTCCTGCCCTTTAATCTTCTTTCTATTGTAATATTTGATCAATTATAATCTCATTTTTGTTTCTTTCCAGGAGGATCAAGAAGATCACGTTGCCAAGCACTGGACGTTTACGTCACTTTACAAACGAGACTTTGTTAGACGTGCTTTTCTACAACAGTCCCACTTACTGCCAGACCATCATGGACACAGTTTCCCACGAGATTAACCGACTGTACGCCCTGTTCATGCAGAGGAACCCCAACTACAGAGGTCGCATATCAGTTGCTGGACACAGCTTGGGTAATAAGGCAGCAGATGGATTAGCTTTCCCAGCACTGGCATGTGTTGTTCCTTCTGTTTTTCACCTAGATTCCATTTCCTCCTCAGGTTCTCTGATTCTCTTCGACCTGTTGTCAAATCAGAAGAACGCCTCCTCTGCACCGACCATGCCAATCATACCCACTGCCAACGGAGAAAGCAAACAGGTCATTCACTAGTTAACATGAATAATGTTATATAATAATAATGTTCTTCAATACATAAATGTGAATTCTGGCTCTCGCATCAGGTGGCAGCCCCCGTGACGCAGGGAAACAATGCGGCCACCCCTCCAGCTGTGGGAGAGGAGCCAAAAGAGGATGAGGAGGAGTTAGAGGATCTCTCCGCCATGCTAGAAAATCTGGGCTTGTCTGAGTACAAGAGCACCTTTGATGAGGAGAAGATTGATGCAGAATCTTTTGTAAGAACAAAAGCCTCCTTTGCTTTTTTGTCATAAAGTCAAAAACACTACATTAAACAATGTCTAAGTCCAGACATTGGTGTAATACATTCACAAATGTTCACTTTTATAAGTTGCTGATCGTCCCTTTTTCCAGCTGATGTGTACAATCGACGACATGAAAGAGATGGCAATCCCGCTGGGTCCCCGGAAAAAGATCGCCAAGTTTGTCAAAGAGAGGGAGAATAAGCAGGTAGGTTAGTCTCTGCAGTAACCGTGGAGACTGCAGACAGACGGTGACGGTTAACATCACTGTCTTTGTTTCTCCTCCGCAGGCTGCACGTCAGGCGGCCCGGGAGAAGAAAGCCGAGGTCAGCCAGGCTGCGGCGCCCCCCCCACCAGCTGCCGAAGCTCCCCCCGAGTCCTCTGTGCTCCCAGTGGGCAACAGCATGCACGTCCACGTCGACTACGACTACTTTGAAGTTGGCACTGGACAGGTAACTGAAGGCGGACGTTGAAGCTGATCCTGAATTTGAATTGATTGATTAAAAACATGTGTTGCTCTGCAGGTGTCGGTGGTCTACCACGCTCTGGACTTTGAGCCGATGAATTTCTTCGCCCTGGGTTCTCCCATCGGCATGTTCCTGACGGTCCGAGGACTGGAGAAGATCGAGGAGGCGTACCAGCTTCCCACGTGCAAGGGGTTCTTCAATATCTACCATCCGGTATGCAGCTCTTCCAACTTTTCTATCCTGAAGCAATAACTGCTTCTCAGCTGCAGACGCTCCAACGTTATTTTGCTTTATTGAGTTGTATCACTTTTGTATCGTTCTTTTTTGCAACTCTGTCCAAATAAGGGTTTACCGGATATCCCAGAGCTTCATTTATAACGTTGACATTCAAACATTTGTACATTCTTCACATGTCTGTTTGTTATTTTCAGTAATAGTTTGCAGTTGCAGATACAGACAGGATTCTCTAACATGTTTACTATTATAATATTTGTAGAATTAGATTTAAATGATCCAAACATTTCCAATTGCATTAGGTTTTTGTAAAGTATAAAAAAGCCTTATTTCCTAAATGATCACTTTACTCATTACATTTATCATTCAATTGAATCCATATTAAAGGAAGTCATGCGTCTTTGGGAGTGTTGTACATTTCATATGGTCACTGAAACCTAGTCATTCCACCTTAACCTGACCTGCCCACACATGACTGAATGAAATATGAACTAAACGCTTTAGGGCTGTGATGAAAGCAGGGAAGCTGAGTCACTGTACGCTTTACTATCTGATGGCTTTATCGATGACTCGTTTCTTTCAGTTGGACCCGGTGGCCTACAGGATTGAACCCATGATATTACCAGACATGGACTTCAAGCCTGTGCTGGTCCCACATCACAAAGGGAGGAAGAGGCTTCATCTTGGTACGACACTCACTTGTTGTTCATCTCTGCTTGCATCGAGCCAGATAAATACACCGCAGACGTTCCTTCACTGTAGCTTCTAGCAACATCAAAAGGTCACTCTTAATACTTTGTCCTGACAGTTACATGTCTTTATGCCAGCTGAGTTGGTTAGGACGAATTACAAAGACACTATTCTTACATTACGATGTGCCATGTCAAAAATAAAATGTAATAACAGACGGAACAGTACATCATTTAGCTGTTGCAGAAAAGGGTAAGCTGAAGGTCAAAATTAAATGTCCTTTTTTTTTTAATCAAAATGAACAGAAAGAGTAAACATAATGTGGATGATCGGCTCTTTCCCTCCCTCCAAATAGATCTTATAATTGGTCAAATAAGAAGGCATGTCTTTGCTTTGATATATATTGGTATAAAAAAGTACTTCGAACATCATTAGCAAAACGTTTCAGAGCAGATGGATTTAGTAAAGGATCCTTTGTGTTTCAGAGCTGAAGGAGAGCCTCACCAGGATGGGCTCGGACCTGAAGCACGGCTTCATCAGCTCCCTGCGGACCGCCTGGCAGACCCTCAACGATTTTGCACGCGCTCACACTTCCTCCGCTCAGCTCCAGGCTGAGCTGGCCATGGTAGCCAATCAAATCGAACAACAGGAGCTGCAAGCGCGGGAGGGGGAGGCAGAGGGTGAGGGGGACGGTGAGTGTCTCTGCTTTGTGACTCTTCAATCATGTGATTTGTTTATCTGTTTAACTCAGTGTGGTTTCTCACAGAGCATAAGATCAGTGAGAGCCCCGAGCCCCCCCGAGAGGAGGAGCCTCAGGTGAAGGTGGGGATGCTGAACGGAGGCAATCGCATCGACTACGTCCTGCAGGAGAAGCCCATCGAGAGCTTCAACGAGTACCTGTTCGCCCTCCAGAGTCACCTCTGCTACTGGTACGCAGATCTGACCTTCCTCCAGGCTTTATCCTCGTCACGTTACCTGCTCCAGGCTGTAGCTTGTACCTGTTTGCAGAGTATGTAATAACACTTGTGTTGTTTTCCAGGACGTCTGAAGACACAGCACTGCTGATTCTCAAAGAGATCTACAAGACCATGGGGGTCCATCCAGAACAGTTTGCACATTAATCAACTAAGTCTGAAAACGATTCCCTTTGGTTTATGTCATTTCATTTTTCCTTGATTTAGATTTTTCTAATTTCTCTTATTTTCTATTCTTGTAGTTTATTGTATTCAGATGAAGAAAACAATTGTAGTATGCCATTTGTCTTGAATTATGAAAAATAGAAATGAGCTGGTAGATTCAAAGACACTTGACATGTTTGATATGACATTTTTATAGTAGAATTATAGAACTGGGCAAGTTTACTTCAGATATTTATCTTCAAATCAAATACTTACAGCAGAAATGACTTAGCAGCTGATACTGTAGCCTTCTGTATTTTATTTAATGTCCACCATTTTAAAAAATAAATCATTTCCTCGCATAAGCCATTTGTGTTTGAATGTGTACATGGAACAGGTCGCAAGGAGACTGTAAGACTAGCTACACAAAAGCTGGAATATTAGCAAAAGATCCGAATGAAAGACAATGAGTACAGGACGAGAGGCTTTCAGTGAGAGAAGATAAAGCACTTCTCTGCTGCTCTCCTGTACTCTTTAACACCTCGCCTCTAACCTCCTCTCATTATGAGATGCAATACAAAACATTTCATGTCACTTTAAGCATGTAGGCACATACGACAAAAGTATTCAACTATGAAACAAAGGAATATTAGAAAAGTATTTACAGGAGGGGCTGTAACATTCAAATTCTGTCCAGTATTAGGTATAATGTTCTCAATGGGCATAAATCTTATTAATGTAATTTAGACACTAACACTGGTCCACATATAGGATAGCGCTGCATGCTATTAGACATCTTTGATCCTGGCTCTTTCATTATTTAACCCACATGCTTCTGTTAACCTCATCAGCAAAGGAACATTGTGACCGATCGTCACATAAAACACACACAAAGTTCCCTTTTCTTTTTTTACGCTAGGCTGAAACTACCTATAAATATAATGCTAACAGAACAGCATTCGTCTGTGCTGTTAAAGCAAAGATTGTAAATTGCTTTTAAGCTCAGTAGAACTATACTGGTTCTTGTGGTGTCAAAGTGCAACTTCTTCATTTTCCTTTTGTCGACAGCTAATAAATAGTTCTTTCTTTCTGATATAAAAAACACACTCTACATGAGTCAACAGCTGCTTGGGTTTGATCTTGTTTGATTTGTTTGTTAAATGAATGAATCAACTGGAAGACAGCTGACTACTGGCTGAGGTCCATTCAGCGGCGAAAGGTAACAGAGCAGAAAAAAAGATAAAAATTCAAGCTGCAAAATTCAGTCAGAAAAATTATTGCCAACTATTTAAAAAAAATGCACTTAAGCTACAAAAACAATTGGCAGATCAATCATTTATGAAAATAATAATTGTTGCAGCCCTTGTGAAAACTGGTTGCAAGTCAGGTGTTGCATTTGAAACTGGCATGACATGCATATTGAATTGTTGCCAAAAATACATAAAATATGTTATTTCTACTTCAGCAGGTTAAATATTACATATTGCTTGTTAGCCGTGTTTGATACTGCAACGTCGTACCGTGTTTTGAAGTTTCACATTGATCAATGCTTGTTTTTGTACATTCATTTGTCTCCAGCTGTGCGGTGAAATGGAGAAGGATCTGTGTAAACATTTCTTTGCTGTACTGCGATTGTAATGTCCGCACCTCACAGTCGTAACGAAGGAATGGTGATGGGAATGTGGAGGCTTCAGTCTTCTGATTTGCTCTGAGTCTTGTAGGCCTGCTTGCGTAGGTGAGCCTCGATCTCGTCGCGGAACACCAGCATTCCGAGGTGGGAGTGCGACGCCTCGTTCATGGCTTTGGATTGGATGCACATGCGGTACTGCTCTGGGGTCAGCTCGTCCGCACACTGCTTCTCGTGCCACAGGTGGAAGAGCCCGGACACCGGGGTCCGGATCACGATGAGCTCGCTCCGGAGATACTTCCTGTACAGGTGGACGTCTTCCACACCCCAACCTTTCACTTCAAGATCAAACCCGCCTGGAGGAATACAATCCAGTTTCAAGCCAGCAGCTTTTACGAGTTATTTAGTCATGATGAATTCACTAATCCATGCTTACCAATATTTAGGAAATCTGAACGATACTGACACGTCATTCCGAAGCCAAAGTCTCTCCAGAATCCAGCATCTTTTTTGTGAATCTATTTGAAATTAAAAAAATGTAATAAAAAACAACTTCACAAGTTCTCTGCATAGTTGGTTTCATTGAAATGATATTAAAATATTATGTCAATCATGTTGTAAAATGATTTTCTTTGAGCTTCGCTGAGCAGAGTTTGACACTAGAGGGCTGTTTTCACCGTCATCTGCAGGAGGGGAAACGTTCTGTAACCCGGTTACTGTACATAATCACTTTTTGCAAAGGTTTGCCAGATTTTTCTTGCTAGCCAATCAGAGCAGACTGGGATTTTGAGAGGGGGGTTTAAAGAGACAGGCGCTTAAAGGAGGGTTTTAAACACACAGGTCTATTCAGGCTGAGTTTGAAAAAAAGCATTTAAACAGGTTTGAGAACAAAACCCAACATCCTGAAAATGAGCAAAATAACTCCCTTATAAATTTGAGGTTAAGATGTGGATTTATGAGCTGATGTTGTGGAATGACAAGTAGTTAAGAAGCCCATCTTGTATCCAGAACTTTTTTAAAGGATTTTGTGTTTGCATAATCAGAGGTTCTGGATTGAATTTGGGAAAACAAGTAGATGCAGTTGTAAGAACTTTTGACAAAGTATTCAGATTTGTGGAAAATCCATTTCTGATGCAAATGATAATGGAAGCCAGCCTGATTCTGCCTAAAACATGTGCACAGGGGATCATTGAAAAGCTTTGTACAAATGTATTTAGAGATCAATGTGAAGGCTTTACCAGTTGGAGTTCAGCCGGTGGAGCCAGCTCCGCATTTCCATAGACGATGGCAGGATTGTACAGACTGAACACTACTGGATAGAAGACTTTCTTATCTATAAAACAAACAGGTCATTTAGTATATTCAATTAAAGCTACATTGTAACGGTACATGTAAACAAAATAACTATAAATACATAATCTGAGCAATAACACATGAAGACCTACTTGGAGCAGCGTGGAGACGACAGGTGTTCAGGAACTCGAGTGTAAAATGGATGTCAACGTCACAAAAAAACATTAAGACGTCGCCTTTCTTCCAGGCGTGAGCCCCGATATCCAGACCCCGACCTCTGGAAAACTCCTCGTCCACCGGGACCAGGGTGTAATTTGAGAAGCTCTCCTCTCTGAAACACAACACATGTAGTAGATTTGAATTACCACGACTCATTACTATCACAAAACCAGCAAAAGCACATCTTAAGTTATTTCTCAGTGAAAGGACACACCTTGACATTTTCTCCAAAGATGATTCCACTTCCTGCAGGCCTTCTGGCCCGAAATAAACCACCGTGAGATGGACTCTTCTGTCCTGCTGTATGCACACCTCTCTAAAAACAAATACCATGTAAGGAATAAAGAGAACACAAAGGTTGTGTTTGATTGCACAATAATGATGTGAGTCTACTGAATACAAATTTGCATGAACATGCTGGGTCGTGTCTGTCAGAGTGTCTGCTGTACTCTCACCTGAAGTTGTGCAAGAACTGTGAGAAAGTATCTACTCTGCCTGCCAGCGGCACGATGATGTTGATAATCATTGCTGATGTCTCTACGGAGGTGCTCCTGACTTTCATTAAGGGACCAAAAGGTCTGAAGAGCGTGACGTGGCGGAAGCTGCTGGACTCCTCTTTGGCGAAGAACAGCTCGTAAAGCGTCCCTTTGTCTCGCTCTGTCCTGTACATTCCTGTATAATAAAAAAGAGCTTCACTGAGAACACAGTAACAGCGATCATTCACTGGTCCGTAGTAAGGTAGATCTTACCTTCAGTAAAGTGACCCTCTGTGTAGGTCTGTCTCTGCATCGGCATGTCTTCCTCCACTCCATCCTCCTCGTCGGGGTTGTTGATGATGTCCAGCGCGGCCTCCATCACCTCCACCAGCTCGTCCCTGCGGTCTTTGCGGACAGGCTTCTCCTCTGGGTGCCGTGTCAGCCCCATCTCCAGCTGGTACACTTTGGATGAAGTGAAACTCTCAAAGGGCACCAGGGCGTACTCGCTGGGGAGGCGTGCCCCCGTGTTGACCTCCGCCTTGTCGATCTGAGAGTGCAGGTACTCCAGCAGGTCTCCAGGCTCTTGGTCCTTCGTCTCCGTAAGGCCCTGCACCCCGGGGGGCTCCTTCTTGTCCTGCATGAGCTTTAGCTTCTCACCCATTTCCTGCAGCTCCTGCTTGAGCTGAGCGATCTGCCGCTTGAGACTAGCGGCCCGGTTCAGGTGGCGCTCCTCCTGCTCCTGCAGCAGGCCCTGGTAGTACTCCTTCCCGTAGGTGTCCCCTGCTATGCCGGGGGGCAGGGCCAGGCTGGCGTCTGCGGAAGGGGTGCACTCCAGCAGGTAGGCGAACAGCAGCAGCACCAGCAGCAGGAAGAGGCCCAGAAAGAGCCAGCGGAACCGGCCCTGGAGCGACAACCCCCGCCTGGGCATCACGCTCACATACAAGCTATAGCTGGCAAGTCTGCATTCCCTTTCCCCTCTGATCACATTACTCACTGTGTGCTTCTGCACATCACCTTGAAGGTCTGGAAGGGTCTCTATGTCATTTTCTGTGATGGTCTTGTTTCTTGGCTCCACTTTTCATACATTTGTCCTGTGTGAATCCCTGCGATGATCACCTAGGTAAAGAAAAAGGAATTACAGAAATTCACAATAAGACAACAGTTATAAAAAATACAGGTAGCCATTTGTGAGGACTTAAATAAATGAAATGAAAGAAATGAGTATGATAACCAAATAATGAGACGCTAACACAACAGTGTGTTACCAGTCAAGCATCATTATGAATGACCCATCCAGCCAGTAGTAGTCTTATTCAGTCAATGAATACAACACTTTTCTTTAACAACGTGTTAATACGTGTTCGACTTCTATGAATATTTCACCTTTCAACGATTCAATAATAATAAATCAGAGCTGAATAAACACAGGCAGAAGGAATTAGCCACACCTGAGATCGAGCACACGGAGACTAGCTCTCAGCTAAATAACAGAACAGAGGAAAGCTGGTGGGGGAGCTGCACGGCAAGCTCCTGAAGAGTGACTTCCGGTTAGCCGGCTTACCTTTCAAAATAACAGCATGACTTTTTCTACTAAAAGCGTGGCCACTGAGAAGCTCCTTGTGGAAGAAAATGATCTAACAAGATTACCAAATGTTTATAACAACACAATTATGTTCTTAATGTTTTGTGATGTATATGCTACACATATTGTTTAAAAGAACAGTCTTTAATCCTAAGTATGTAGCCTTGTAGAACCTCTATTATCCACCACATACCACACACAATTGTGTCTTGAAGGTCAAACACTAAAGCCTACAGCTCCAGCCCTTGGCACACAAAGTGATGCTGTTTGTCTTCCCGACACTCATTGTCTTTCCTGAATGGCTTTAATGAAAAGCAGCAGGCCCCTGAGTCCAAAAGGCAAGAGCTGGAAACCATTGCTCTAATGTCAAAAAAGCCACAGTAGAATCAAACCCTTTTAGCTTAACAGGAAAGCAAGAACAACTATTCAAAACACTTCCCCTTTTATGTCCAACTTGTACGTGCTACTTTCTCTTAACAAGTGTAATGCCACACCTAAGAGAAATCCAGCAGTCTAATGTGTCGCCCAAAAGCATAAAATACATTTTCTATATGAAAAATGACTTTAGATATTTTCAATATAGTATCTAATTCAATCTTATATTAAAATAGACACAAGTATTACGGTTTTAACCATTCAAAAAAGAGGAACTAAATGTCCTAAATGTGTCTTAGCTTTGCCTTCTCGTAGCTGCCAATGAGAAGGATGAAAATGCATGCAACACTTGACTGGCTGAAAAGTGTCAAACTGATATCATCAAGGTTATGGTGTAAACGCATCATATGAACAGACCTTGTGGCAGTGCATTGATAGAGACTACACATTCATACACCAACAGGGACTCCTACATTATAGAGACATATCTGAACTGTTGTTACTAAAGTTAACTACTTGAGCAGTGAGTTTTGTTAACAATAAGTCACTTACATGATATTTAAATGAGTGATTAATATTGTGTTTTACTTGGAGAAAAAAAACATTATGTTATGAACTTTACAGTGTGTTTAAATATGTTTGGCAACTTTATTATCTTGGTTGATCAATTCTGCAACTTAATGTGCAGTCTGCAAACATTTTACATTTGACGTCGTTTTGTATCTGATCATCACACAGTTTAATTAGTGTTACTTCACAGCAAAATGTGTGCTCTTACTTTGAAAGATCGAAACCGGAAATTGGCACGATTCTCCAGTTAGCTTAGCGACGTTCGGAGATTGCCTGCGCTTTCGGGTTATTGTATATCTGTTAGAGAGCCTGCTAACCCGTGATTGAACGGTAAAAAAAAAAAACTCACCTAATTCAGTCTTTTTCCATTCCTGCCCGTGTTTACAGCATTGGCTTTAGTAGAAAACCAGCAGCCGAAGACAGCCTCTGTTGCAAAATGCCACGGAGCAAAGAGAAAAGAGTGAGTGGGTCATAGTTTACTTCCGGTCAAGAGTTAACCAATGAGAGCTTTGTTTCGAGTGTCGTCATTAAACACGTTGAAGCCCCTTGTTCATCATAATAACCTCCAATACTAAGTAAAACGTTATAATTACAATCATAATTACTTATTCTTTTTTATGCTACACGTTTGTTTATGAACATTAACACAAATACACTGTAGTTCTTATAAATATGAATTACAAGATTAATTTAAAAATAAGCTCTTTTTATGTTGCTTTTTTCTCCTCTCTGTCCTGACTTGTCAAACCAACCCCTTATCTGTGATGATAAACTAGCTGACAACTCTGAATTGAATTACTCATGAAGAGGAGACATATCACTTGTTTGTTGTCCCAAACATGGGATCTGTTATCATAACGCAAACCATCAAATGTTCCCATAGAGTTCTATTTTAAGTAATTCATTCATTTCCTTTCGTTAAGAATCATTAAGGGTGGCAGGAGTCTGGTGCTTATCGTAGCACACATTATGTGGAAATCACTGAGCCACCATGGACAGGTCACCACTAGTCCACATATCTATTTGTATAATACTTAGATAGGGTGACATGCATTATATTTTGCCTACCAAAGAAACCTTAATTAAAAACGTTATCTTAGGTATAACCATTTTTTATAAACAATAAAGTGAACAAACTATTTAAATGTAAGCTGATATAACACTGATTCAAAAATCTAAAACCTGAAAAACTAAAACCATCATCAGATTGTCTAAACAAATAGTTACTTACAGCCAAAACAAGAGTTGAGTCTCAGTTGCGATTAATAGGCGGCACATAATGTTTACATAATTTAGTGAGACTGATTATTCAAACAAGAAATGGCTCCAATGGACCAATTCTTCCTAGGCAACTACTGCACAAAATTAAACATTATTTAGAAATAAAATCCTGTCCCAAAGTGCACTAGGACCTTATATTGTAATATAAGACTAAACCTTATAATGGTATAAACAAAACTAAAATGTATGTGAACCGCCAATCATAAGTTAAAACAAAATCATTTTGAACATTGTAAAGGTAAAATATTAACATTAAAGTAATCAGTAAACAGAAGCTTACTATACATTTTTAGAGACATGAGGAAAATACCCACACTGAACATTTGTAACGTTTATTATTAATTGGAACTTAATCAAATAATAACAACATAGCAATGATAACACTCATTAGTTTACATAATCATACTTTTTCCACAAAGATTGCCATTACAGTGAATCCAATAGTGAACTGTAGTCTCATATGGGACATGGTCACGGTCTACATTAAGTGTCGGGTCCTTACACTGGAGTAGCACTCACTAGTTGATATTTCTCATGTAAAAAAAAAATATATATAACAAGAACAAAAGCAAGAAAACTGCTCACTGATCATGTCTGTATTACTTCTCTTTGGCAAGAACAGCTTTGAATCATCTTGTGGGAGAAACACAAAATGGGTCTTTGACAATTTGAGGAGCACAATCCTCTAAAGTAGAAACTTTACATTTTCAGAACAAGTTCAGCATTTTGCTGTTTGTCCACTCAATCCCAGCTGTCTACAGCAGGTGATGGTAAAGACGTCCCCTTTAATTCCTGGGCTGGAACAAGATCTTCACAGTTGCACATTAATATTTGGAGGCTATTGTAGAAGCGGCACAGGCACTTAAAAGACATTGACACTGGCATACAATCTGGTACAATAGTCATGCAGTGATACAACATGGCCAACATGACCCGTGAGGTAACAATTAACATACTGAGGAGCTGAATGAAGCGTGGTCTACATTGATCCTGCCGCTTTTGCAGCAAAAAAAGACCTCAGTTTTAAAACATTGAATACCCCGTGCAACAGAAATAAAAGGGAACCAACTTTAGCATCAGATTGTAAATGTACAGTCTTATAGAAATATACACATCTACCAATCAGTCATATTTTCTACAGTGTTGGTTTGTCTTTAGCTATCGAGCTTGTCCACAGCTTTTGCGGGTGAAGGCAAAGCCATCCAGTTTGCATAAACACTATCATTGGCATATCTTGTAAAGACTGGATTAGTGGCATCATGTCTGTTGAGGGGTACCGGGCTCTTCTCAGGCCAGTTCGGGTATGACATGCCTAAAAACGAGAACATATCATTTTTCTGCACTCAGTGAAATATTAACAGCGTGCAGACAGTAAGGCTCTCAAATCAAACTCTGTAGTGCCTGGAAAAAGCCCGTTGAAGTAATGGCTTTGTATAGGTTACTGTACATAAAGCAGAATATAGTGTTGTTTATTATTTATTAAGTGTTTAACAAAGTGTTGGTACAAATGTATCTAGCTATAATGTTGCTCATGCCCCTTTCTGTAACTGTTCAAAAATGCAAACGAACAATAAATCCAATGTGTTCTTTACTTTTTATCGTCACCTGAGAGTTGCGTTCAAAAGCCTTACTGTTCCTCTGTTCAGCATTGTGAAACATTATAGATCAACAGCTAATATACATTAGAAAGTCAGGAAATGTAAGACAATCTTGAATTTAAAAAACACAGTGAGTGATTGATTCGACAAGGACCTGTTTCAAATGTTGCACACTGTTTCTACCAATGCAAACACATAATGGAATGATGACAATGGAAATGTGATGGTGTGAAAACATTAACTCATAAAAATGCAGACTAAGCATGAGTATGAGTGGTGCCATATAAATAAGAAGTAATGGTATGTTCAATATTTACAAATGTAGCATCATTTTGGTCAGCATTCGTGTTACATTAGAAGCAGGTCCAAGTAAAACAAAAAAAGTCAAGACACAAGATCTTTTTTACACTGAGCCCTCTCATTTACGATGAAATGGGAGATGTGTCAGCATTAATCAGCAAAAAAGGCATGCCTAGATCACAGTCACGCACACTTGACTACGGAAAGGCCAATCACAACTTGCCAAAAAAGAGAGCTTGTGTTGTGTGTCCTGTTTCTAAAATCTAGTAAATGCATGGGAGATTCTACCATAGAGCTTGTTTTCAATCCATGTGGAGGGGAGGGTGCGAGGGAGAGGGGCGTTATTACAGTCCACTAGTGGAGTGTCCTCTTCAGAGAGCGCGTCGTCGTACAGCAGGGCGTCGGCAGGCGTGGACGCCGCCAGGTCCAGGTAATCCTGCCAGGAGCAGATGAAGGTGTGATTAGGCTGATTACTGAGGCGGGGAAAAACTGCACGCTAAGTCTGAGGGTGCCCGTGCTAAAGGTCACATGCAGGGCAGTGACGCACAAGTGGAAGAAAACTATTGTATGTTTAGACATTAATGGAAATATGAAAATACAAATCTGTGATGATCAAATTAAGAGTTTTTAAATCAACATTTCTTTGGGTTTTGACCAAGTTAAAAGGTACACTTTTAAAAAGGGAATCCTGTATACATAAAGGTATATATTAAACCTTTATTACTTTTA